CTTGCTCGAGTATTTCGATGGGAAGATGGCAAAGTACACCGAGCCATCAATCACGGGATACTACGTGGAATGGGTACGTAGTAGAACGCATGCAAAGGTACCAGAAATTGCGGAGGTAGCCGAGAGACTGGTGAGCTTGACCTTTGAATGTGCAAGCGTGAAGACTATTTTGCAAGAGAAGTAGAAGTGACTTCGGGAGTCATAGTCAGAGTGTGCAAAACTTTGGAAGAGTTTGGTATTGGAGAAGGATCTTCGTGCGTTGTCGGAGAGAGATTGCGAGAGCCTTTGGTTTGACATTGAGAATGCTCGGAAGACGACAATAGATCTTCGGGATAGATTGGAGTCGTCTAGAGTGGTGTTTAATGAGGAATCACGTTGCATAGATGAGCTGACTGCAGATCTGGCGAAGCGAAATCACTTGCATGGAGCTGAGTTAGCGGCGAAGGCGAAGGAGTTGACACATTGTGAAGCTGCTAGGACTTTGGAGTTGGAGCATAAGTAGAAGTTGGATGCAGATTGTGAATGAGCTGACTACAGATTTGGCGAAGCGAAATCACTTGCATGGAGCTAAGTTAGCGGCAAAGGCGAAGGAGTTGACACATTGTGAAGCTGCTAGGACTTTGGAGTTGGAGCATAAGTAGAAGTTGGATGCAGATTGTGAATGAGCTGACTACAGATTTGGCGAAGCGAAATCACTTGCATGGAGCTAAGTTAGCGGCAAAGGCGAAGGAGTTGACAAATTGTGAAGCTGCTATGACTTTGGAGTTGGAGCATAAGGAGAAGTCGGATGCAGATTGTGGATGAGCTGACTGCAGATCTGGCGAAGTGAAATCACTTGCATGGAGCTGAGTTAGCGACGAAGGCGAAGGAGTTGACAAATTGTGAAGCTGCTAGGACTTTGGAGTTGGAGCATAAGGAGAAGTTGGATGCAAATTGTAATGAGATGTGATTCCAACTGTCAGCAATTGAGTAGTAGTTGATCGTGGCTGAGGCTAAATTGCTAGAGGTGAAGGCGAAGAATCAGAAGTTAGTGGGTCAGACGGATGAGGCATTGAGTGCAAAGGTAAACCGATGTCTTCGTGGTTATATGGAGTGAGAGATTCAGACATTCAAGTGGATGAAGTTGAGAGAGTTGGAGCGTCGCGTGACGGCTTTGATCGCTACTAGTGAAGGGGGACATCGACCGTTAGGTAGAAAGCTCGATTGGTTCATCTCCGGTTGGGAGTATACAAAGAAGAAGTTAACAATGGAAGTGTCAGCTGCTTTGCGTAGAATAGGAGTAGATAGAAATTCAGCGGACGTGGCAACTGCCGAATCTATTGGTGTTGCGTCTGTTGGGGTTTCGCATCATAGCGAGAGACATCTCAGCAAGTTAGTGAGGAATAACGAGGCCCAAGGCTCAACCTTCGAGTGGCGTTTTCATTAGTTAATTTTTTGATTTTCAGTCTACATTCCTCCGCGCGTTTGTGAATTGTGTGTTTTGTCACCGTGCGCAAGTTGCTTCGGTTTGTCAAAAATATCTCATCTGAAGTAGAGAGTCCAATTCGGATGTTTTGAGTGATGCATATCGTAGCTTTGAATTTAAGCAAATCTGTACATTGGAAGTTCGGTGCAGCCGGTTGAGTGTATACCTTTGAAATTTCCCCCCCTGAATATCAATTGCAGAGTCATGTGCGGCTCCTGTATGCTCTTATTTGATAATTTTCAGGTCTGAATGTAATTCTACTTTGCAATGTGATGCCTTCAGACTTAGCACTTGCAATGTTGTCTGGGAGTGCTAGGTGCCTAAGAAGTAAAACTTTGCAATGAATCAAAATGTGACACTACGTGATTCTGGGGTTGTATCTGTCCTCATGGAATTGGATCTTTACCATAATGCTCCATTTTGATAAGTATATGTTATTACAATCTTGTATGTGAGTTATCAAAAACATCAGTGAAAAAAGTTTTTGTGTTTTTCTGGTTTTTGTGGACAAATTGAGCAAGATGATTCACGTTAGACCAATCACAAAAACATTGACAGCTCCACAACTTGCTCAATTGTACTTAGATGTTTTTTGTGAATCATGGATTAAGCAAAATCTTAGTCACTAATAGAGGTACTCATTTCACTAGTTTGTTTTAGAAAACTTTGTTTAGTTTTTTCATAACGAAATTAGCAATATCAACCGCTTATCATCCTCGGACTAATGGTCAAACAGAGATAGCCAATAGAACTGTAAAGGATATGTTACAGGCATTCACATTAGAGGACCAATAAGAGTGAAAAACTCTTTTGTTTGTTTTGGAATTTGCATATATCAATTTTGTAAATGAATCCACAAAGTTGTTTTCATTTTACCTCATGTACTGAGCTCATCCCATTACTCCATCAAGTTTGATGAAGTTTTTGAAAGTAGAGTAGTTTTTAACTAAGTTAGCCGCGGTCAACGAGTTTGTGAAACATATCCACCAAGAATTACACCAAGCAAAGGAGAAGTTGTTGATTGCTCAAAATTGACAAAAACAACATGCTGATGGTCATCGTCCGAAGTTAGTTTTTCAGATTGAAGATCAGGTTTGGCTGTCTACAACAAATTTGTATCTTGTAGGAACATCACTGTTTAATCCTATATTCATTGATACTTTTGTGATATTGAAACGTGTTGGTGAAGTGTCATACAAGTTGAAGCTTCCGTCACATATGAAAATACATCTTGTATTTCATGTGTCACGATTATAAAAACATGTACCACGACCAAAACAATTCACAAGTTAACCAGTGTTACCTTTTTTACCAACCTTGATAGCTAATAAAGAGAAATTTGAGGTAGAAAATATCTTCAAGAAATTGATTTGAGGCCATAATTACGCCAAGGTTGAGTATTTGGTTCAATGAAAAGTACATCCATCATATGAATCAACTTAGGAACCGATTAAAATTCTAGCTAATGCACCGTTGATAATTCAAAAATTGGAACTGAGGTACAACAAGGACGTTGCGTCTTAAAAAGATGGAGTTTTGTAATCATCTTTAGTTAGTTAGAACCAAAGTAGAGTCAAACTCTAAATATTGATATAGATACTTTAGCGTGCACTAGTCATAGTTGTCACGTCAGCGATCCGCGCACTTGGTAGGTATCGAGTAGGTGTGTTAGTTTACAGCATCATGTCAGCAATCCGTATGCTTGTTAGATAAGTATTGACTGTGCTAGTTGGAAGCGTCACGTCGCAATCCATGTGTTTGTTAGGATCATTCGCCACGTCTTGAAGACCGTAACTGCCATAATCTATTTTTTCCTCAAAAAAATATTGAAAGAAACCTAATATAATACACTACCTACCTAATCCAAAACAAGATAGAGTAAAATGTATAAAAATGTAACATAATTGTTCGTAAACTCTACATGTTCTTCTCGTGCAAAACTTACATAATGTCTCCTACATCTTACAAATGGATAAGTGTAGTAATACATTAGTTGGATTTAGTTCAATTTTGACTAGTTTAACCTTCTTATTAGAGATTGTATTCCTCATGAAATGATACTTGATGTGGATGTGATTCCTTTGATTTGCAGCAAGTTTTTTCACTTTCCAACAAATTATTATTCAACAATAAATCATAACGTACTTACTTTCTTTCAAATAATACAGAACCAACATGTCATCCATGAATACTCTACCAATGAGACATTTGATTGATGAAATCTGACTCGTACATGAAGAAGTGAAACATTAATCACAAATACTGCAAAATTCAGTCCATGGCTTATATAAACAAAAAAATTTAGTACTCCATATTTATCCAAGAAAAAGTAATCTATTATGTTGAGGATCAGTAAGATCTTATGGCGATGAAGAAAAACGTATATTAAAAAATTAAACTTCTATGTATCAGCCTGTGCATAGAGGGTAATCTGCCCACAAGAGTAGGCTGAATTAGATGGGTAGAGATCGCATCGTCCACCTTGCAGATCCCTATATGATCTTCTAGATCCAAGACTTGTACGTTCGAGTCTTTTGTTTGATAATACAGGACCAAGAACATGTATCGCGAACACAATCGCCTATTTCTCAAGATTCCAGCAGAGCCATGACATTTTCTACGATGACGTTTTCGTTCTAGATGATTTTAAACTCAATCATACAACAAGATGAATCGTACACCTCAAACCCCATACGGATTCATCCTCACGAAGTTTACGTTCAGAGTCAACCATATCACGGCTGTCATTCGCATATGGTGTTTCCATTGTTCGTTCCATGCATTGCCTGTTTTCTCTTTAGATATTCGTCTTCAAGAGACACAGGTCACTAAAAATCACTTATCGAACTTTTAATCACAAGACCTCCTTTCGCATTATCCAAGCCGAACAAGAAGTAGATGGCAACCTCTAGTCCGCAAGCTTCTAGGTTAAGTGGTCCATATAAACCGTTATGTTTCTATTTGAAGACTGCGCCTTTGCACTCATCAGCATGCATGATTTCTTATTCGCAATGGATGTAAACATTGTAGACCTTATTGACTCGTATGTCCTCCCGATTGTACATGTGTATTTGACGTAACACTGGGCCAAGACAACGAGCATATTGGTTCGCTAGGAGAAAGCCTTTTTATTCAACGACCAATATGTCATCCTGCCCAAAAGCTATGATAGGAAACCTGATGTTTCTTCGAACAGAACGGCGATATAAGACTATCTATAACCGTGATATCAGGAGAAGCTGACTTGGAAGCTGAATTACAGAATCATATGAAACTAAACACTTACGTAGACATCGCATACGTAAACCACAATTCCCAACAAAAAGGAAGTGACAACACTTCCAGACCCAGCCAAAGCGAGCCTACGACGACATAACTTGGCTCACGAATTATCTAAATTGCGATTCTAAATGTCACATTGAACGACATTAACTTACTTTCCAACTGCATCAGAAACCACCTAACGCCTAGTAAATTTGAGAATGCGAGCCAAGGGATTGGAAGAATGGTAAAATAGACAAGACCCACAACAAGTACGGAAATTTAAAAAATTTGTTCGTTGAGACATGTTTGAACTCGATGAGCGCATTCGAACTAAGCGCACAACTCAATATAAGCATAAAACTCCTGCTTTACACCAACTCCACCTCTTCATGAACCTTAGATATGTCAATAAGAGCGTATTGTGTTAGAGCTGTTTTTAATGAAGTACTCGAGCAAAATCCCTTGGGACATCGCGAATGAACTAGTAAGACACCAACAGCTTGACTTTAGTTTCAGTATGCATATGAACTGGAGGTAGAGTTGTTTTATTGACGAGACTCCAAAACTGAGACAAAACTGTTACAAGATCATACCAAATTTTACTGAACACACTAAATCTAAGTATTATTATCATGGAAAGGTCAAAGATTATGATTTCTGAGTGGCGACAACGTAAAGATGGAGGATAAGTCACGCAACCAATTTTATCAATCAATCGAAGGGCTGTACAAGATCCAGCTGTATTTGACACAGCAAGACATACAAGTAAATCAACTGGGGGCGGGACGAGAAGATCATCCCCTCTTCTCTGGCCATACTAGAAGGTGCTACTGCAGTATCCACGGCATCTCCAAACATATTTCTGTTACAAAGGCAAACACGACCCACAGAAAATTTAGTATCACAATGAGCCCAAAAGAAATCCACAAGCGTACTGCAGCATAAATTGCAGTATAAGTTTCTACATGGAAAATCTGAAGGACAGAATACTGCTATCATATTACTTCTGTTGTTAAGCGACTTACTCTCGGATGCAAGACAATTCTGCGGTGATTTCTACATGGTGCTCTACAACTTTTACATGGATAGTAGGCTAACGGTTGTGAATGACATACCCGTGATAGCCAGTAAAAAATGTTGTCCCCCGTTCATAATGTGTCTGTAGGCATGAGTTCCAAAATCCTCATCCCACTCTTTTTCATCCTTCCAGGACTCTAATAATAAAATATCAGGACTTTCAAAATGGCTGGAAAAATCTCCTTCGGCTACCCATGAGAATTTGTAGATACAAGGTGCCAATTGAGTATACATTAAATGGAGGAGAAGATGGACAACCATCTTGACAGGGGGTGCAACATTCGTCACTTCGCAATAGCTGCTCAGCGACAACTGCACCCCAAAGAATCAAAATACTACTGCGACTATCTGTAGCTTTGCTGCATAATCTACTCAGTTTGTCTTTAGAATGTACTAAGCAACACCTGCAATCCCACCACTGTGAACTCTATCCAGTTTCTGGCAGTTGCAGAATGGTATGTGAACATCTCTCCAAACTGCAGAATTTGCGGTGTTTACCACTTGCATCGAGCGGTCGTGAAGAAAAATCACATCCTCAGCACATCAAAGTTGTACAAAAATATAGTCCCTTCTTAACCCACAAGCATCCCTAGAAATCAACCTCTTGTAGATCATCCCCCGTAAAAGAAACTGGTGCCTGACTCACAGCTCTTCCGTCGGATCCTCCAGATCCTATCGATGTTGTAAAAGGCTCTATCGAAGGAGGAGGAGGCAGAGAAGCGTCGACTGAGCCATCACCCGAATGTGGGTAATACCCATCCACCTTAGTAGGAGCGGATGGGAAGTACGAGCTTACAGGAGTTGATGTGGTTGAGCTCTGACTACTGAAACCATTGTACATGCTAATTGATGTCACTGCAGTGGAGTTGTCATGAGCAAGATTCGGTGGCGGTTCTGCAACAAATTGAGAATTTTGAAAATTACTGGGGTATCCGCCCCAGGAATTTGCCCTGGAGTGATAACCATTTGGAACAGAACTCCCACCATTGCTCGTGCCTCTGCCTGTTCTATCATTTCCTTCTATGGGATCTGTACCACCAAAAACAGAGGTACTTTCAAAACTGGAAACTCTATGCATTGATGAAGTTATTGTCCCACTCTGCCGGACCATATTTGGAGCAGCTGCACTTTGACTTGTATCAATCCGATCCTCCATACTGGAAGCAGAGTCACCATAGTTTCCAGCGTGATTTTCCTCAGTGTTTTCACCAGAAGTCCCTTTCTCAGACTTCGCTGAAGCGCCATTTAAGTTATCCAGCGTTGGTCCTGGAACAAAGAAACTCATAGGCTGCATAGGAGCTCCAGCTGCTTTTGCAGTAGGAAATAAGGATGATGTCACAGGCTTGGAAACTGTTGCATTTCCACCTTTATTGAATGTGTCGACATATCTGGAATATAAGAATCAATATTAGCACAATAAACAGTTCTTGTAAACGAAAATGTAAGATACCTGATCCTTAATTCACGCCAAATAAGATGAAAATCCCCAACCCACTTGTGCACAGATCGGACAAATGACATACCTCGACCGGACACCTTGTTTCGCGCGAGCAGAAAACTGATTACTTGGGGGTACAGGAGGTGTCCCAGATAAAGTCCTGGGACCAGGTATAACTCCAACTCCAGACTGTACATCTGGTATATGTTCGTCAACCTTGCTCACAAAATTGGCAGAAGTGGGAGGAGGAGGAAGAGCCACTTCCTCCGGAGTAGGTTGAGCCCCTTCTTCAACCCATCGTTTCAGTTTTTGATCGTAGTAAAATTTATTTTTTTCTCCTAACTTTGCCTGCAGGCACAAGAAATATTGAAATTGTCAAACAATGAAGTACCACATGACTTTCACAGGCTCCAATACCTTAACTTGTCATCAGAGATATATCGAAAAAGTTTATAAGAAAGATATTTATTGGTCTAAATTGACATTTAAAAGATGCTAAGAAAGCGGTAAAGTGCATACAGTCAAGTAACACACAAAGCGATGCTTAGCAGAAGCAATCAAACTTGTCTTTGAAGTAGTATAAGCATAAGCATAAGCATTCCAAGTCATTTCTCAAGTGAGATACATGTTATATAGTCAACCGCAAAAACTTAACATACAAGAGGGACAAAAAAAATTCGGACGGAAGTAGCATGTCTTGGAGGTGCCAAGTAGGTAATGCGAATGGAAACAAACATGATGACTAAGACCCCAAAGGAAAAAACAAGTCACCGTAGTGATTAAATGGTAACAATTCGACACAGACATGCATATAAAATCAAAGAGCAGATATCGGTGAAAAATGGAAGCAAGAGAGAGAACTGAGTAAAAGGAAAAGTCCAGATGTGGATATCACATTACTAATAATACGTGTGCTTGTAAAGATGCCAGTCCAACCCAAGAAAGCCATCTAGTGACCATCAATAATATTTGAACGAGAAAAATCTACACCCGGTAACATACACTCCGCTGCTACATCAGTGGCTACTGAGATGCAAACTTTCCTGCAATGGATCTCGTGGGGGTGAAAATAAGTCAAACCCCGACAAACAAAAAGATATCGATGCATGTTGCCGACATCTCTGTAAAATACTGTCTAGAATTGTTTAACGATGAAGGAAAAACTAGAAGCCGAATAGGAAGTAAAAGCCTGAAGAACCGAGGGAATGTCACTCCGTTCAAAACTACATCCACGAATACAAGATGGAAATCAAACAGAATATAATGTAAAGACACAATCGAGAACCATAGAGTCGATGTAATAGGATGAAAGAGAAAGACGGTGAGAAGAAGGAGAAACGAAACCTTGTGAAAACCTAAACGATATCGATATGTAGGCTAATCTTTAGGGCAAGACACAAGCAACATGACAAAGTTGATCCAATATTTTCAACCCTACATTGATATATCTTAAGTGGAACCAGAAGTCTTCATCAGTACATTCAAGGCTTAATTAAGACTGAGTATGACGATTCTCATGCTACTGGCAGATTACGTGATGAACGTTCATCACCTAATCTGATGGCAATCGAATATTCATAAAATTAGTAACTAATCAGCCTACAATATGCTGAGGAACGTACGTTCAGAGTGCACTTGCAACTGTTCAGTTTTGATGAAAAGACCAAGAATATTCTGTAAAGCTTTTCTCAAAAACTGCTGTAATGCCATTCATGGTCGGTACACAACCGAAAGATGAAACTCCAGGATCTCAGTGTTGATGGTTGGCTTGCTCTAGAGATGTGAAATGAAAAATTTGACCACGCAAGCACTAGTTTACTTGTCTAAAATCTCAAATATTATAAGAAGACACATACAAATTCGAAAAATATTAAGTGCTTATTTTAAAAGGCTTACCTCCTTCTTTCTGAAACCAACCCTTTGAAACAGTGATGAACCCAAACCTCTGAGATAACCACCTGCTGCCCCAGCCCCGGCATTTGCTTTTGTTTGCACAGATTTTTCCTGGCCAAGTCCGATAGAAGATCAAGGTATGGTGTGAGACTTGTGTTCTAAGAGCAGAATGCAATCCTAACAACATACAGGAAACTTCAAACAAATGAACTTTCATGAACTACCTTCATGGACGAACTGAAGTCTGGCTCTGAAACACTTCGAGGTGGCATAGAGCTGATTTCTTGCAGTTTCCCTGCCGAGGCGGAGGGAACAATAGGTGCTGGGGTTCGGCCAGGACTAACGCCGGACAGGTTCGTAGTATATTGATCTCGACCGGAGGGTACAGAATCAACTTTGGGTATGTGTTGAGGCTGGTCTGAAGATTGTGGAGGGCCCCCGATAATACCATGTATACCCCTGTCAAGTGCGCTGAAAAGGGTTCGCACAAGCTTCCCAGGCGCAAGATTTACGGCGTGGCCACCCTGCACAAGGAAAACGACGTTGCTTGAACCTCCAAAAACCCATTATTCACCAACTTCGCAGGCAGTTAAACCAGTTGCAAACAAATTATTTTTTTAAGGAAGAAACAAAACCGATTCTCTTCCGAATTTAAACCCAAGAAATGAAACTTTTACAACTATATCCACTACATATCCTCCAGGACGCATGACTTCTTCTGCAGAGAACACACGGTTGGTGAGATAGGTCAGCAAAGAGCAATTTCATCTTGATAAGCATTATAATTGATTATTTCTCATTTATAATCGGCTGTACCTGTGCGTGATAACGAAGACGCTCCTCCAAAGCCATGGCAGCTTGTCGACAGGTTTCTACTTCAGGAGCACGACTTGCTGTCTTCAGAGTTTTCAACACTGCTTGGCAATACCTGACCCAATCATCCACAAAATCTTAACCCACGTCCTTGGATGTACCAGATTTCTTTTCCTTCTCAAAAGTGAAACGATGCCCCATCATTACTCATGTACTCATCCATCTAACGAAATGTGTACCTTAGAATGTGAAGATGACAGTATGCAGGTACAAATGTGAACTGAATTGCATTTCTTACACTAAACAAACGATAAAGCATTGAGGAAATTCTCCTGTACCTTAGAGCTTCACTAGTCTTCCCAGCTTCAGCAAGCATGGATGCATAGATCAATTTGTAGGGTTGGAAAGGGACCAAAATAAACTGCGGGTTGCCAAGTACTTTTGAATACTCGTAGATCTCAGTCCGCTGGTAAATCATGTAGAGGAGAGTTAGTTGAACCAGTAGGATGCAAACACAAGCTACTCACATAATAATACAATCTTGTGCTTTTTCATGGTGACAAAGTCGTCTAAAAGCGACATTCCAACCGTCTAACCACAATTTCTTCTAGTATTCCGAGCTCGGTATGTCTCTTTCTCCTCTCTCGACCGAGAATGCAAATCATGTGAGGACTCAACAAGGGTATAAAGCTGAACTCAATACGACCCAGCGGACAGTATAACGCACCTGTATAGCCTCTGGAGTTGCAAATGTACGGGGATTTTTCCAATGATCTGCTCCTATCAGACAGAGCCTTGCCGTGCTGGTGAAAGCCTCAAAGTTTGCATCTGCGACAAGATAGCATATATGTGCGGCAGCAACCTGTTGCACAAAACGAAAATATCAGAACACTACATCCTAGGGCTTTTTCAGAGATCGCAAAGTAATACATTAGATAGTCTCCGTCCGATAAAACTCTCGAGAAGATTCTTGTCGCCATATCTGTCTCGATTACTTAGCTCATCTGAACGTTCATTGTTCATACCAATTAAACTTCTTTTAAGAGAAAAGAAAACAGGGCTCTTTCGTATGTGAAATGAGGCTAGGCGCCACCTCTTCTAGAAACTCAAATATGGCCACAACAGTTATTATATTGAACCCATCGACGACTAGTGAAGAATCAGAAACAAACATCGACAGATCCTATTAAGTGTGGAGTCTACTACCTACGAAATGCCTGAACTCTACGACGCTATGTTCCAGCTTAAGTTATGCAAAATAATGGCAGTGTGATCAGTGTCAAGTCTACTATCCAATAAAAGGAAAATCAAAGCTACTCTCAAGTGTTCATGTTGTTTCTTTACCAAGTGCTGAGAACAAATAGATTACACAGATTTCATTTAGGACACTTCAAGTCTTTATCAGTTTTGGGTGTCTCCACAGAAATGAGGAACTGATCCAACATTATTGACCCCTCTCAAGTAAGGCTTCTACACATGAGGGAACGTCTATTATCACTCATCACACTTCATCCTCTCGAACATCGCAAACAGGCATGCTCTTAAGATTTTAGTCGCCAACCATTCATGGGATCTATAAAGGATGGAAGGAGTATGCTCATTTGAGTGTATTATACCTTTTAGGGCTCAATCACGTGGACCTACATCCGTCGCATTTGACCCAGTTCCTTACTTGACTTGGTCTTCTTGCAAAAGGTTTCAAAAACTTCTTTCTTTACCAAGATTCCAGGTATGAACCTGGAAATGATGGACATGGTCAAAACTGTTGATTGAAAGCCACATCATTATTGAAAGGAAGAGAAACCATGTTGTCAATTTTTGACAACATGGAGGAGTTGACCGGATCTGGTACAAGATTCTTTCGGTCCTCACAATCTTAGATGAAGAAGTGCGCTACGATTCGATTGGAAGATTTAATCTCCAATTAATTTCGAAATCTGTGTATGAGAGACTCAAAGAGGGAGACGATGCGTCCCAATCTGCTTGAAGTGGACATAGGGTATGTACAGGCAAGAATTCTCCATTTCAGCTTCTTCCAACGCATCAAAATGATTGCATTGGACGCTAATACTTGACACAAAGGAGAATGTATTTGTCCACTGCACTTTCCAAATTCAAGGCTAATTCTAGTTACTGGCGCACCTGAAGTTTGCTGGATTGGCTTGTCCAAAATGGCGTTCATGGTATTGCAGGGTCAATGCTGCAACGTCCTTCCGTTTCCAGGATAGCGTATTACACGCCAAGGCCTACCCTACATTTTCAACAGTCTATTCTCTTTCAAAGTTCTTCTAAATTCTGGGTAACCTCAAAGTCCACCATAATTCAGAAACTAATTGGGGGTTTGTATTGATACTATTTTACAACTCTTATAATATTACAACTATACGAGTTTAAGGTTTATCGACCCGATAAATGTGAACGGCAGGTAGAGCATCAAGAGGGGCAAGGAGAAAAGTATATTAGAGTGGCAATGTTTAAGCGGGCAAACAAAGAGATCCAACACCTACCCACGAGCTACTAAATCAGCATCTCTCTTAGAACCTTAAACGGTTGGTCATTGGGGCATGAGTAACCTAAGTGATGAGAAACTTGACGGCGGAAGTTGGTACCAAAAGGTCGTTGCCTTTTGGCAAATACTTTTTGGAAACACCTGATGTGATGGAATGTACCATTGACATGAAAGACACAGTTCTCAACACAGTGAACTCCCATATTTTCCACGAAGGATAATACGCCAAGGTTTAGGCTTGAATAGAGGGCTACTTCAAACCTGATTCCATGACTTCCACATCTTGAACCAAGTGTAGTTCATACTGTAAGACCTTAACAATGGGCCCTGTGGAAACTTCTGAGTGATGCCATGTGAACTGCTACGAAATTAAGGTAAACCTTCGTTCAAGGGAAATTTTAAAAAAATAAAAATTGAAAGTTTCTTGCAATCTACATACCTCTCCCTTGGCTTTCCAAAGACAATCTCCAAGATGTGAGATCACACGGTCATCTCCATTGGTACGGTTGGCAGCCATGATGGAAAGATTTTCCTGCCACTCTTCTAACATGCTGCCTAAGCCATCCTGAAAAAGTTCAAAAGAACAGATAAGTTGCAAAATCCTCGAGAAACATTTCTAAAACCAATCATGACTAACATTGCTTACAAGTATACCTAACTATGTGCTTACTTGTGAAGAACCCGCCGACATCGGAAGTCCTTGCATAGGATTCGGGCCAAGAGTGATAGGCATGTTCTTCTCACTGAAAACCTCCGCTGGCTGTCCGGCAATTAGCAAGCTCAAAGTGCGCATGGGAGAGCCAGGCAAAAACTGGAACTGCGCCATTTGTGCAACAGCATCTGTGTAGAACTGCAGCCATTCAATGTTAATGAAAAGGCGACGAGCACTACTTGGCATCAGACAAAGACATTTAAAAAAGATTGCAAAAGAAATTTGATGACAAAAATCACATTGCGTCCAATGAAAAAACAAGCAACCACTCAAAGCACACAAATGTGCACATTCTGTAACATCCACTTATCAAGGCCTCTGAGCACGAACTTCAACATACTTATGAAAGTTCTTCCAAGCTGCTTCAAATCAATAGATTCACGGAGCATCCAAAATATAATTCTAAACAGATAGCTGATGGTATTATAAACAAAGAAAGATCATAAACTCACTTTCTCACCAAGTTGCCGGGCAAGAAGAAGGGCAGGTCCCCATAGATGACCTTGCAAGGCATGCTTAAGCGCCTCCTTCCGCTTTCCCATGACTAGAAGCTTTTTGACCTCAGATGCAGTCATCTACGGAGGTTTACCAAACGATTTCACGAGATACCATAAGCACAGCAATAATAACCATACGTAAGTCCGTATCGAAGTCAAGGGACCCACAAATCATATCCGGTGTCATGCCAACATCCTACTGTGAGTAACCACTGCGACAAACTATCTAGACAGACTCAATGCCGGTTTCTCAAAATAGCGTATCATTCAAAAGTCTGAAAGCAAATTTATGGTAGAAAATTATCGACATATCAAATGACTGAGTAACCTTCTTTGTAAAGTCTTCCGCCATAGATGAACCCGCATTGAAAGTATTCATACTGACTAACAACTGACATCCAAGGGTGTTTGATGTAAGAGTAAGAAAAAACAAACCTGCAACTGATGCTCTGACGGGATGGGCTGAAGACACACAGTAGACGAAAAGGATCCCATCGTCCACGACCCTTGATTTACTCCCGATGTTAGAAGATTTGCTAGCGCTACTTCAGGGCCATCCTCTTCCTGTCATGGATGGTAACCATTTAATTTAGGCGCAAGCACATCTAAAAGCATGAGGGACGTTCCTATTGTTCATAAAATGAAGATACAACTACATCATTCTAATTGAATCTTTGAGCAGAGTTCTATAGGTCATCTTAGTACACTGCGTCTGGTTAAATCATGATATATTGCGTCTTAGAGGGTGAAACTGAAAGTCAAGGTTTTTGATTTTTTTGTGTCCAGGTGACTTCTATCAAACCTGACCTTTACCTTATTAACAACTTTCTTCGATGGTGTCAGCTAACCCAACATATACCCTAAATGACTCAAAGTAGACAAGTGAAGACTGAACTTCAATTGCATTAAAAGTACAAGAATTGCCTATACTGCGTCGTGGAACAGACTGAATGTCAAAAATAACAGCAAATTATGAGCGTGATGAAATTTTCAGACCACGACTAGTAATACGCTCTCAACATAGGTAATAAGTAGACTGAGTGGTAGACACATATCTCAACATGACACCGTTTACATATCGTCTCGGACACTAAAAGCCCTTGATTAGCATCACATCCCCGGACTGAACTCTATACAACTACAACGCGTCAGGTGAGAAGTGCAGAAGGCAATTATACTACCACACGACCAGTGAAAATTCATCAGCACCCAGCTTGAGGGATATAAAAGTTTCTTGACTGTTTATAGTCGACTGACCACCGACATCTGCAGACACGAAACTCTGTTCCGACTTCCACAGCACCAAGCCTAGAGGCCAATTGTGTTCCCACCTTCAACCATTCTGTGCATCAATGTTTGACGCATGAACAAGAAAAACGCGAAAACTCATTTCTTGCCTAACGTGTTAGATTCTGACATAGGTTGGGTTATTATTTTACAGTAGTGTGTTAAGCCTCAACAGAACGAACCCTGAAGAACAAAAAACAAGAAATTCCATTTAACAGCTCGATTCACAACTCAAAAATTCCTTCATTCACCAACGAAGGCAATGTTGACGGGTGAAACGAAGCAGCATACATGCGAAGCATAATCTCTTAAACAGACAGATTGACAAGTGAAATCTCGGCTCCTGTCTCTCGCTCATTGTTAATTTAAGGACGACTTCTTTCAGAATATTCGAAAACTCAGAGAGAATGCACTGATGACCCTAAGGTGAGAGTCTTCTCTACTCCTAGAGATTTGAAGGCTCAGACGTGGATGTGAATGTAGGTAAATACCTGCGAGGTTATTCCCGCTGTTCCGACGGCGGACCGTAACTTTCCATAGTGCTGACATGCCAACTTCAAAAGGCCCCATAACATCGACACGGATGCTGGATTTTTACAGCTCGGCTCTTCAGTCCGACAATTTGCACCCCTCTCGTCCAGCCACTTAGTCAACTCCTTGTTGGAAACACTGCCACCAGCAAGCGGACCCGAGAACGTCTGGCGGCTGAGGGAACTAAAGTAGAGGTTCCCAGGCTCATGTCTTCCAGGATCAGCACTTTGCGCTACAATCTGACTCAAGTTGTGTACACATATGGGTCCAGGCACCCATGCTTGGCCACTGGAAAAAGACTGCAGTATTGACCACAACAAGATAATGGGAATCTAAACTTCACAACATCTTCTCCAATTAGACCTCCTTCCAATCACAGCTCGTCCAGCACATGTCCTTTTGAAACAATTTTCAACATTACAGCTATTCGTGGTGACTGCCGACTAGTACTGAAATAGCGCAGTATTTACCAAACAAGTGTACGCATACCTGCTTCCCATCACTCGCATGAAGACTAACGGAATCTTTCAGCTTCATAACGACAAGCTTTCCCCCAAATCCGAAAGCCGTAAGAACATGTGGTGGCCTACCAACAGACGTCCTCAGTGCCTCCACGGTGGATTTCGGAGGCGTAAGCTGAGCATACTGTGAGTAGTGCTGAGTCTGATATGAGTTGCCAGCGGGCTGCTGCATCTGATAAGGACTAACACCGGGCCATGTCGGGGCTCCATGGCTTGGCACTTGAGCGGGTGCAAATTGATTATATGGCACCTCCGGCGTTTGTTGTGTGGCAATTTGAGGGCTGAAGCTGGTCTGAGGAGTGAATGTTGTCGCTGTAGGATAAGTATATGGAGCGTAAAGACTCTCCGGAACCACTGGTGGTGCTATCTGTGGGTCAATATGTTGCAGGTTGTAGGGGGCTTGATGGACTGAATTGAACTGTTCAATCCCCAGATTTAGCTGAGGCTGCTCTACCTCATAATGTTGCTTCGATCCAAAAGATTGTTCCACCTGATTATAAGACGGCGCATGTCCAAACTGGACATCCAACTGTGACCCTGTCCACTGTCGAGGGGTGACTTCAGCTGCCGTAGGGTTTGCAGTGATAGTTGCAGGGAACGTGCTAACACTGGGGCTAAGACTATCCAGCGTTGCGTACGTTGACGGGATATCGAAGCTACTGGGCCTCTCCTGATTGTACTGGCCTGCTGAAATATGCTGCTGATCTTGCCCTCCGTACCACTGTGAGGAACTGTATCCTTGATACGCACTATCCGAATAACTTCCATTTTCTTCCGTTATAGCTGGCAAATGTAGAGTCTCCTGCTGCGCTTCAGGAAACTGAGATGTCCCAGAAACTTCGCTTGGGGCGGATGGGTTTTCCTCTTTCCACTCTTGTGCCTGGTGATCGTAATACCACCCTGGGTATTGACTTTCCCAACTGACCTGCTGTTCGCCCACGCCACTTTCTCCACTAGCTGACCATGTTGAGTTAGTTTGCTCTACGACTGATGCCTCAAAGAGAGGGTTGTGTGAACCGATGGACTGGCCTGAAGTATTCGGATTTTGTTCGGTCCACTCATTTTCATAAGCCCCGACCACGGACTGGTTAGCCGAGATGTCCCCATTCCCAGCCACAACTTGCTCATTCTCCTGTGAACGAACTTCATTGGATTCCTGGTTTTGCCAGTAGCTCTGATTCATGTCAGTTTGAGCTTCGGTCTGATACTGCCCTGAGGTATCCCATGAAGACCCGGCACCAGCTCCATTATCGCTAGAGGCAACCTGTCGCCACACACCCGTGAAATTATTGTACCACCACCCCGGATACGGATTTTGCCATTCAACTTGGTCACTTTGGCTCAGTTGCTCCTGTCCTTGTGGCTGCCAGTACGCTGTCTGTTCTTCGCTACCTGTGTTAACTGAAGTTTGACTCTCCTGCCCTAGCGTTTGCAAATCCGATGACACGTGGGATGTGAAGGATTGAGTTTCAGGCACTGTTTGTTGCACATCAAAAACACCAGCATTGGCTGATTGTTGCTCTAGAACAGCGGATCCGAAATCATGAGAAGCGTCGGCTGTTAACTGGAAGAAATCCGCACCTGAGTTCCAGCCGTCCTCTTGGTGCTGAGAAGGATCTGCAGGGAATGATGAGAGGAGATCAGAGAATGAGCCAAATCCAGCCGACGCTCCAAAGTCACTCCACTGAACCTCGGTCACATCAGTGGTCAGTTTTGGTGGCTTTGAGGCTTGAGGTGATTTTACATCCTCATCAGCGACGGATGCGGTAGACGTCTCCTTCACGCTCGACGCTGTGGCATCAGAGATTGTTGACGCTGTGGTACTGGGGTGAATGGTACCCAGTTCTCTAGAAACATTTGAGTCTGGCAATACGACGTCCTGCCCAGGAATGTTCAAAGGGGTTGAGATTGATGTTTCCAAAGCTCCGGAGCCCTGAAACACATCCCCTCTATCTGACTCAGATTCGTATCCTCCATTCGCAAGAGGCCTCAATGAATCCTCTCCAGTGAGTACCACATCAGAGACCATATTTAAATCCCGATCCTCCCCATGTATATCCCCATTGCCCATGTTGTGTAAATCACCACTGTGAGGTTTGATATCAGATAAAGCATCAAGCTTGGCGATGCTAAGTTCGGAGAAAGCGTCATCAAGCTCAAAGTCCAGCTGTGCATTGCTATCTTGATGACTACTTTGTTGCGCAAGTCCTTCTACCTGCAGTTTCTGTAAGCTAGTCCATGACCCAGAAGCAGAAGATGAAAGCTCCAGATTATCAGGAGCTCCCAATGAACTCACATCCCCTGTATCCTCGTGTTTGTGAGCCACCCCCTCAGAAACTGGAAAGTCCAACTCGTCTCCCAGCTGATCAAAAAAGCTCGCATCCACATCATCTCCGGCATGCAACGGAGGATATGGTGCGGGAGACATTGCTGCAGTTACTTACTAGCAACGCTACAAGGATGGGATCCACACCATCGCCCTAAATCTCAGCTGATCTCATTGAGGATAAAAGACTGCTGGCGGAGAACTGCCTGCAAGGTCTGAAAAAAACTTTGCTCGTTGATGACCTTTTCCCTGCAGCCTTCTGTGCAAGTAAAAACAGATGCACAATTATTCACGCATTTCGCCCTTGGCAGATGGTTTGCTCCTCCATCTGACACGCTTTTTATTCACAAGATTTCCGCAACATAATGAGGAAGAAACCTGACAAATCCACTTTTTCCATCACTTGTTCAGAAGCCCGAGCTTGACTGTAAGAAATCACTTAGACTGGCAAAACGAAAACGCCACTGTAAAATTTGAAGCATACCTTCAGCGCAGGTTGAAAAGAAGAGCGTTCCTGATTCCAGAGAGAAAAAAACAATTGTAATCTCCCGCTTTCGCTCCTGCTCGTAATTTATGCGTCGTTTTGCAGAAGCCGCTGAATGCCGTCAGCATCAGCTCTCACAGCACATCACTGTGACCATCGGCACGTAGTTGAACAATAGGGCGTCGCAAGAGAATATACATCATGAGTGGCTGGGCATGTGATCACTCGTCTCACTGGAAAATAGTCAATAGATATCATGATTAGTAATAAATGGAGATTGTGAAACTTCACGATGAAACAGGTGGTAGTACTACCTGTGATACCTGTGGTCAGTAAAGAAAAAAGTGCAGAGAGATGTGCTTTACGCAGTTTCCTCTAAGAAAGGGTTTGATTAACATATAGCTTGCGTTCATGTCTAAAGCTATGATATACTACACCACGACCCATCTCAAACATCAACTAAGCTTCCGGTCTTTGATGAACGAAACGGGTTTCTTATTATTCTCTGTCTATCCCATGCAAGCCCAATTTGATGGCTTTAAAGAACTGCCCGAGAGTATACTTCGAAGGCTACAACCGGACCATAACTTCAGAAATAGTTAGGAATTCGCCGTGGGCAGAAGTCCTCCACATTCACTTGATGATAAAAGAAAAAGAAAAAAGAATACACGGGATGCTGGGCCAGAGATAACAATCCAACGAGACAAACCAATTTCCGAGGCTTTACTGCAGCTTTGACTCCTTCACAGACCCACCCGGAGGAGAAGGGACTACGAAACACATACAGGTGGGATGAGAAAGCGACAAACACACTGGAATCACTTATGGTACATCCCTACACAATTCAATCTCCAGGTTCAAGGACTGCAAGAGGAAGTTCAAGGATGGACTTTGAAGCAGATCAGAGTCAAAATTGATTCAAGGAGTTTTATACGTATTTGACTGTCCTCGGGCAAGTACTCATCTGTCTGGTTTGACTTACAGGATGGAAAAGACTTGTCAGGAAAAAAAAATCTACAAAATCCTGCGTCTTCCACCTAGTCCCTAATCCTTGATCAGAACTTGGATGGAGATTTCCGACCGCACAGCCATAATATTGATCACCATGTACTGATACAGGACTCATGCCCCAGAGATTCAGTCCGAAGCAAGCAGATTTGAAGTTCATGAGTCGAAGTTCCAACACAAAAATTGTGTCCATCACATTTCAAGGGACCAACAAACGTTGCTCGTGGTGATAATTAAGCATTATCAAGCACATTCCTGATATACTGCAGCTCCCGAAGAACTTGCAAATATATTTTTTGCATCTTTAGTCAATGGCACAGCTCCGTTGCATGTTTGAGCAGAGTTTCTACAGTTTCCATTTCTTAGAGCCTTCCAACATATGATTGTTCAAATTCAGATCTCCATTTCTTTCATTCCGACAAGTTCTGGGCATCTACGCGGCCACTGACTTAGGAATGAATAACAATAAGGGCTTTCTGTCGGTTTCAACTAGAACCGCATTTCAAAATGCTCCGGAAGGGTATGCCTCGACAGATTGTAGAGCTAAAAGAGTGTGGAGGATCGTCGAAGATACGCAATTCACAAGGTGGTTTGATCAGTAAAAAGAAGAGGAGGTCCAGGGACTAACATCACAACCATGGCCCTCCGGAAAATGTGGCACCTCTTAAACACAGAGAAAGCCGCTAGATCAAAGAAAAAGGGTGCATCACTGTCTTTGCGTTTCAAAAGTGTCAAAACCTACCGAACGCAGAGATAAATGAACTGAACCCGGCGGTTCACTTATGGATGTCGACATAATCCAACAAGCCAGAGAGAAAAAAATACATCACCCGCCCCAAAGATCCACAAAGTGTTATATTTCTGATCAGGCTGGACAGCGCGTAAGCAAGTCGCCTTTCCAAGTTGACTATCTACATTTTGACAATCGGGATCCAGAGAGGCATGGCGTCAATTCAGACTCCTGAAAGACATGTCCGGAAACCCTAGAGCAGTACACAGAAAGTGGCAGCAGAGACAGAGGAACAGTAATTGGGTCGATGATGATCCACGTGAGTGAGTACCTGAAGAGGACAATTTGTAATTCAGAAGAAAGAGAGGAAATAGAGATCATCGGTATATGCACCTTCCTTCGATCCGCGACAACACACTGCTTCGTAAGAAAAAACGCGGTTCCGCCCTACAGAAACACCCCTAGTAAGGAATTGCATGTCAGATCCGGCATCTGATCGACGTGTTCGCAGCTCCTCCTGCTTTCGACACACAAATCCTCTGTCTGCTTCTTCCCACTCACCGCCGCGACCAACACCGAAACCACTCACTTGCTTCTGTGCCCACTCCAGCGAGCATCGCCACCACAACCCCAGCCCAAGGCCCCAGCCAGTCCAGCCCAGCCTAGGAGCAGCACCACCACCAACTCCAACACAACAACTACAACAGAGCACCAGAAAATGATCAACAGCAAAGAGAGGAGAAAAAGAGAAGAGCAGCGTTCGATTGCGTTCACACATCCGACAACACAAAGCTCCCACTTCCAACTCGTTCTCTCCACCAAATTGCCACACCGGGAAACTGCCGGCAGCCGAGCAGGTCAAGATTGCAAGCACGTGGAAAGATGACAGAGAACTCTGCGTGGGCCGGCTATGGCGGAACGGAAAGCAGCTCCGCTCTCTCCTTTTTCACCCTGCCCACCTCCGGCCCGGCCCCCGCCATCGACCACAACGACGCCAATTCCCATTTCCTTCCTTCCTCCGCTTCCCATCCAGTTTCCCTCACTATCCCTCACTCTCCCTCTCCTCTCTCTCTCTCGGAACAACAGGCCCGACCCGGCCGCATGGTTCGAACCCAACCCAACGCAACCCTCGCTTCCATCCGACTCCCGGCCCTCACGGTTCCGTTCGAACCGAGGAGCAAGGAGGCCCTTCGGCCTTGCGATCTGTATCCGACGGTGCTCGCCCGGCAGAGAGCCAACGGAATCATTTTGCGTCGAGGAACGCGAGGAGAAGGGACCGAATAGAAGAGAGGAAAGAAGGGAGTCGCGGACTTGGGCTTAGATTCAAGGCCGACCTCAAATTTTCTGGCGCACCTACACCCGGCATCATCCCATTGGATCGGAGAAACGGATCCAGTGGTTTGTTGTCGTTCGGGTCTAATACGACAAACTAATGGAGACTACAGCGCAGGGAACTTACAACTGGAGGAAGAAAGTAAAATTTTAAACCCCGAAGGGATGGCACCTTACGACTCGGAGATGGCACCGCTTGAGTGGCGAGCCGTAGCCTAGCCTGAGCTTACATGCGTCCGGGCCTCTCTCTTCTTGCTTCTGTCTGTCTCTCTCTCTGTTGCCAGATGTCCGAAACCTTCGGTCGAAGTCGGTGCCAGTCAGCTTCTTTGAAGAACATCCACCTGTTGTCGAACTTCGCAGATGGCAGATAGTAGCCGGAGATCCGATCCATGTTTCCGAGAGTACTTTGACTCCAAATTTGGAGGCAGTCTACGAGCGAGGAGGCATTGTACGATACACCCCCCAACTTTCAATACCGGGGGAAAATAAATTCCCAACATATGGCGTTCGGATAAATGGAGTGAGTCATGTATGAAGGAGATGGCATCCTGCACATGCAAGAAGCCCGAAGAGGAAATTTGCAGATCGACTGTCCACCCGATATAGGGCGACCATGTATATAAGTAGAAAGTCTGTCAGACATTTGCAGACTACCGCAACTGTTCGGGAACGACCGGGTCTACTGCAGTACCGTATGGAGCCGATAATCCAGTTACACCATGCTCTAAATACAGACTTTATTATTCAACGTGGCAAAAAGAATGGTCCACCATTGGCGTGTCGTTTCTTTACATGGACCGTTGGATATGTCCAAGTCACCAGGATGACTTTGTTAAAAGTCAAAGCAATCACTCTCCAGCAAAGATATAATAAATTAGACCAGACAGGGAATTCCTCGGACGAGTGGGACACTCGCAGAGCATTGGAGCTTGATCATATAAACCACAAACTACAGTTAGAACACTATGCATCCCCATGGATGCATAGTATACCTACTATGCTGTATCGAGAATACTACAGAGGCCACGAAGACACAACGTCCACCTAATAACTATGCATGTATGATATACCAAGCCATAACATATGTTACGGAACCACTGCCTTAGGCTCTTGAGCGAAACATTGCCTTCATAATGGATGTTCGTCCGGGAAAGATTAGTGCTCTACTTAATGAAAATAAGAGCTTATCGTGAGCAGGTGTGCTCTGCTTGTTTACTCTTGACTTTGTGTGACGCGTTGATTGAACTTTTCATCCGGAACTAGTCTATGATTTTTTCATCTCCCACTTTATTTTATGTTTTTCTTTAAGATCTCAACTTCACATACATCGATCTAAGTAATTTTACAACAAACCCAAGTATAACCTTCAACATTAAAGCAGACAAGTTTAAAGTAAAAATCTTCTCAAACTTGTTATTGGAGGCACACAATCCAACAAATATGTCTAACGAAATGAAACTACCTACAATACGAAATACAAATATCATCCTTCGATAAATCCACCAGTATCTTCTACTAACAAAGTTAATAAGTGGAACACGTTACACATACGCATCAAAACTCTCACTCACACCAAAAAACTAGCTATATCAATGCCACATCTTATTCAAAACTGAACGACTTTAAACTTAAATATACTTCCACGCTAAATTGCACTTGATGTACAAAATATGATCATAAACACATACATTATATCATTTTTCTAAAAAAACGTAGTAATGAATTATAATCAATATGCCTACATAAATAAACCGCCATCAAGACGTAAATACAAAATCTTGTAAATTTTTCATATTTTATGAATTTTAATGAGAAACTTGAATAGAACTACTTTATATTAATATGGCAAGTCTTCAAAAAATCTTTGATATGAATCAATAAACATATATTCGTTACTTACAATAATAATTAATTTAAACTGCTTCGTTTCACATCTTTAATATATTTGAAACACATCAAATCCACATACACACAACATTACACAAATGTCTGTAAAATATGAAAAAATTTGCAAAATAACTATATTTTTTAATAAAATCCACCGACCTATTCAATTTAAAAAAGGAATTTCCGGATCCATTTCAAAATCTATTTTTTTATATGCAGTTTTTATTGTTTAAGTCTCCAATACAAGTGATATTCATGTTTATTCCTGCAAAACGAACTTTTAAAATAATGTGATACATACTCAACATACTAATTTTTTTTCTCATTTCTTCATCTTCCAAAAAGAACTCAGAAGATCTATAATGGAAAAAAAAATAGATCAAATAGATAAAGTTTTCAAGCCATTTCAGCGGATTTCTTGACAAAAGACCTACCTTTGTGCCAACACGACAAAATATTGCATGTCACTCGTTAACGAAGATTGCTCTAAGCATTGAATAAGTATTATCTTCCGTAGGTCAGTTTGGAGCAAACAAAACTTTATGATGTCCATTCTTTAAACTGGACATAATATTTAATTAAATAATTTTAATATATTTTCTGAAATCATTTATTAAAATCTAAAATAAATTAAAGGATAATAAGTTGTATTATCCTTTAATTTTAAACTTTAATTCACCGATTTAGAAATTTTTTTCAAGAAAATATAAAAAATTTGAGATATGTTAAAATTTGATATTTTCATGAATTTTAAAAATATATATGACAATTACATACTATAATATATATTATAAATTTTATAAAATGAATAAATATACACTATAGAAATAAAACATGAGAAAATAATAATATTCAATTTAATTTTTTAAAAAATAAGAAGAAAATAATTTAATTTGATTTATTGTGTAATCTCACACCGAAGAATTATATGAATTATTTTAAATTTGATAAAATAAATGAAATTATACTATTTTATGTCATTAAAAAATCATTTTCATGCTTACGTATGAGTGGAAGTATGATTATTGATCTTGATAGGTGACATTAATTTTAATTTTAATTTTGATAAGCTATTTTTTTGTCCTTCAAATTTTTTTCAAATAAATTTTTTTGTATTAAATAAAGATCTTTGACTTTGTACATTCAATACATGTTTTTGGAAAGATGTGGTACTGAATTTATCTAATATGTATAAAAAAATTTTGCAAAACTTGTGAGTTTAAAGTGAGATGATTGAACTTTGTGATGAATATAAGACGATTTTATTTCATTTTGATATAGTATTTTTATAGTAAAAATAATATGATCAACATATTCTTCTAATTGACCAAGATTTATGATATGAAAAAAGAATTAAGTGATTAATTAGCATAAATGATTGATGAATGTGAGTGAAATCATCATATACAAATGACTTATTATTATAGACTATTACCAAAAATTATATTTCGTATATTAAATTCAATGATAGAATCTGCACAATTTTCATAATTTGTACCATTCATTCAGCTCAATGTGGGTTTTCTACATGAATTTTAACATATATACATTTATTTATATTTATAGTTACGTATAGACATATAATAAATGAAAATAAGTATTAGAAGACACAGCTTATTGAGTTTCTTCAAAATCAACAGACAACTATCGTAGGTGAATTCGCATCACAATCTAGTAAACAGAATAAGATTAATTTTCAATGACCTATCTACATTTTTTTGTTGACTATTAAGATGGTATGTTATAAATATTCATAAATTTTTTTCATAAAAGGTAGTATTTATAATTGAATTTATCTTTACATTTTTGAAGAACATTTTTTTTTAAAAAATATTTTTAATTGTCTTTCAGTGTAATCGTAAACCTTGTTGGTGTAAGTTTTAATGTAGGTTATAAATTTTCTCTGGTAGGTAGAAGTGTGTCGAGAATTTGCGTTAAATAGAAATCATGAAATATGTGTTTCAAAATACAGACTTGACTTATTAAAATTGGTATCGTCTTACATCATTTTTTATTAGCCTGATTATTAGGTACAAGTAATTTGGGTGATGATCAACGTTTGCGCGTGACGGGCAGCTCTTAGTAAGAAAGATGCAATGTAAAAGAACATGAGTTAGGCCGTGCTTCACTCCTTTTGAAATTTCCCAATCTAACAATTTAGGATTCCAAGAGAAGGAAATATTCTACGAACTTCATATGGTGGGGAACGGAGCGGATTGCCATGCTTCATGGAAAAAGTCATACAGTTCACACCTTTTCGGTATACTTAACCTGGTTTGTTCGCTGAGGAGTTGCCTTAGCCCGCACTCCTCTTCCACACGTCTCATACTCGCCATATTATAATTCCGTTATAGCTGTCTCATTCCTTCCGTTGTTTGTCATTCTCGTCTTTTGAACCATTATAGGCCCAGGACGACACGCGTTCATAGCCTCATCATTCACGTCTACTAGTTTCTTTTCTTCTAAAGTTGATAGCTATGATTGAGAATCAAATATTCGAGTCCTTAATTTGATCAATCGACAATGAGGCTTATTTCTACATTCTGTCAGTATGCGAAGAATTTCAGCGACCATATTGCTACAGTAGAGGGTTCACTGATGATGTACAGGAATTTCTCAATTCCAATAGACCCCGCTCCCGGTGCCAAAAGGATTTGACGGCTAGATTGAAATTTCCACACAAACTACAACAGACATATCAGAATGTTTTTTTTTTTTAAATTAGAAACTTCAAACGGGAGAGAACATATTTCATTTCCGAATACCCATAATGAGCAGAACTGTTACGTCTATGGTATATCATCATAAGACGTAGCATGTATATATCAAAAAGGATGCAAAGGCTCCATCAAGCCTCGCATGTTCTAAGCAACTGAGGAAAATCGGACTAATTCCAGAAATGGAATGGGAAAATATACAAATGATATATTGTAATTATATGGATAAATTCCACATTATAGGTATGTAATATGAGTAGTCATAAAACTCAAAATGTACATTAATCATCTGGATCCAACAGTATACAAGGTATTATATTATTATAAAAGAAATCACATACCTGATTATTGTAGGATGGATTAAAAGGGTTGCTATGCAAAGCTCTAGCTGGTGCAAGTAGTGTACAACATGTCAAAGTCATTACTTCGACAAATCTTTCACTACTAGCATCGCTATATAACTTCAAAACTTGAGTGACAAAAAAATGAGTTCGACATATACTTCTACATTTGAAGACATTGGATGTTTTCGCTACATTATCCGCTAGAACATGGACTATTTAAAACATTATCAGACATATGATTAAAATCCGAAGAGTTTTAAAACCAACTATAGTTCTCTCACGACTTTGGGTGGACTGCTAGGCATACTACTGGTTCATACATTTGATATATCTGTACTTTAATGCCACAGCAAACATGCCATCACTAATGACACAAAATATAGCCAATGTATGGACTTCAACCGTGTAACATGGAAGTAACAAAAATCGAAATCTGCATCCAAGGTAGAACAATATCACGTATGAGTTGAGTAACTGATATTCATATTGTTGTCTCAAGCGGAAGAGGAAGCTCATCCCCTTTATCGTGCAGGGGGACTCACTTTCACGATCCCGTAACATTACAAGCCCCATGGGTAACTAGAGTAGAGACCGAGGGTCAAATCATGAAGCCCCGAAGTAGAAGGGAATTTGCTTCCTTCTTGTAGGCAGGGGCCGGGAAGTGGAAGTAGGTGGGAGGATTGTGAGAATTACATCGATCTCAAGACAGACAACTTCACGATGAGAATCATGAGATCTTGAGGCAACATGTCAACTTCCACGCTTGAGCCAATGGCAGTTTGCGAGGAATGACTGTCTTCCAATAGCGTCGCATTCTGCCCTCAATTCGGTCACGAGACAAGACGAGAATCTCAATCACTGCAGCCTCGGCCGGGCATGCACAAGCCACAAGGCAAGTGAGCTTCAAAGAAAGCGTCGTCCAAACATGCAAGACGTGCCCGTGGTGAGGGCTAGGCCCTAACCGACCCTAACTCTGGAAATGTGGGACCCGAAACGAAGCAAGTGTTGAACCTTGCACCCCTCCCAATATGAAAGAGGGAGCCTCTCCAACATATTCTAAACACTGCTGCTACCCTCGAGATGTGGCTCATCATTTTGTGCAATCACATTTTGTATTTTCATTCTCATTCGGACAATCATTTCATCCCAAATTGATGTCATGATGAAGAGTGCTATGTGTTGTGCATCTGATGGGATTATATGAATCACTTCATGCGCCAAGAGGGGTACGCCTAAATGAGCAAAGTGAACTCGTAGAACCTTTTCCCAAAACGGTATTTCCTTGATTGGTATCTGCGCTCATGACTTTTGGCCTTCAGATTCAACTGTCTGGCCGGGTAAGAGTTTGTGATTTTACTGGCAATCGCGGTTACGCGCAGTACCGTAGGTCGTGTCTATCTATCCTAACCACGTAGCACAGGTTAGGTTTCCAAGTAAGGGTGACCTCGTGCACTGCAGTAGTACAAGAGACCAGCGCAGTTCGTTCATGTGTCTATGACTGTCCACCACATAATTCCCATCGTTCTTGGTTTTGTTTGTTTGAGAATTTCTCTTTGATGGGTTCCTCCCTGCCTAAGTTCGTGATTTTCACTTAAACGGTTTTGTTATACAATTTAGACATTCGAGCTCTAGGCTATTTTTCCTGGGTGAAGATTTGTACAGCTTCGCATTATTTTCAACCTGGAAAGAAGTAAACATGACCCACAGTCTCATATTCCTCGTTCTTAGAAGCAAAGTATTACTTGGCGTGAACAAATAGTTCGTGCTCAAAAAGGAGCACTTCACATTGTGTGGTGATAATCAAACGTCTCATTTTTAATTTAATATATGATGTTTTCAAATGAGTAAAAATGATAAATCTGATTATGTTGGAACTTGTTGTGTTATTTTCTTTTGAAACTTCTTTGCATGACTGCATAAGTCTAAAAAAGTGGGAATCTTAGAGGATGTCTCATGGATTAGAAACCTTCAAGTTAACAATAGAATGAAATACTGAAGAATGTGCAAAAGACGACATTATTGGAGATATGACAGCTCTACTTTTGCTTATGACATTGTTTATCTCACCTATCACTCATTATGCGTAACGACATGACCACACAAAGAAACAAATGAAGTAAATATGAAAATCACTTAAAATCCAGCAAATACCAACTTTGAATAAACGATTCTATTTCGCATGTAGTTGATGGGATTAGTTAAAAAATCACTAAATAATACGGAAATGAATTTAATCAATAACGTAAAGTACTAGCTATTCAATGCTAGGAAGGTAAACGGTGCTGGTTTGTGTAATACCAAAATAATTCTCAGTACACACTCTCACGCGTGAGCTTTACAGGTTGACGTATCACGTCAGAGTGAACCACGTTACACCTAGTGTCAATGTATATTGTCTGATATAAGAACTGGTTGGGTTTATCTATCTGATTGTTTGGCTATGGTTATCTTGCATATTTTGGACTAAGACTTGAAGATTTGTGATGTTCTAAGCAATTTTTTTTCTTTCTTCTCATCTTTCTATCAATTGTGAACTTTATAAGAAAATATTTTTTTCTATTTTATCTCAATCCCAGTTCTATGCATAGGGTAGACTTATTTATTTTCCCCTTCTATTCATATGCGCAAAATTATGAATGCTCGTATTGAATGGTCGGTACAGTAAATTAATCGTGTTTTCTTTCAATCTCTTGGTTTCTAATTTGTTTCGTGATCGTGAATGGTCCATAACCATATCTGCATGTATGAAATGGTAATGTCAAAATTCGTTGGGCACGAGTGAATTTCGGCGTTATTATCATAGCCCTCGTCGTCAATTTCTCAGAAGAAAAGGAACTTAGATGACTACTATATACCCTTAAACTCCACCATCCCCTCCATAACTCGGAAGTGCACGTTGCTTGATGTGGTCCGCTATGGTCACTGCATCATTCGGACTCCTGGTCGATGCTCACTCTGAAAGCACTGTGGAACAGTGGAACTTCGCTGGCATTTGATTTCTTCGTTCTTTAGACATCTATGTAGACATAGACGTCTACATAGAGCCAAACACATGAATATAGAGTGATTACAACGTCAAAGAAAATGATGAGAAGAAAGTAAAATAAACAAAATCACCTTCCGAAAAGAGTGAAGTCTATATCTTGCCCACCATATGCTCATGGTCTTCAATCGCGGCAAATGAGACGCCAATAAATAAGCGTGGAAAAATGGAAGAAGAATTTAGATCGGAGCGGCCGTCATCTCACTATCGATCGGCTGAGCCAGCCATTCGATATGTAGCAACAAGACTTTATGCTCACTAGTGCTATCCTAGCCAGAGGAGGAAATGATGGCAAGAATATTAATCACTTAAAGACAGACTCGCAGCGACCTCATATTGATTTCATTCAATTAGTGGTGCCATTTTCATAGCATTTTCCTGGTTGAAACCATCGAAGACAGAATGGCCCACACCGGAAGGAAAGAGTAACGAAGTAGGATTGTAGGTTTGATCTGATCACAGAACTAGACCGCTGGAATTTGCCATCCTTAGGCGGAGTCATCCGATAGAATCTCTCGTATAGGGATGAAAACGTGGGTATGCAAGACGACAGAAACTTGTACATGCTCACACCTTGTGAACAGATATTTACTTTGCGGTGTTCGTTACAGGCTAGGAAGGAGGAAATCGGGTTCTGCCATAGGGGGAATATCTATCTCTGAGTGCTTGAGCGATAGAAAGGGTCAGTCACAGACAGTGGTTGAGGTCGACAGCGTTGCTACTCTGGTAGAGTCAACTCAAGTCAGGGCAAGGTTTACACTCACCAATCAATCAATCTGATCTTTGTCAATCACGGAGCCTTTCTTTCTTTATTTCTTATTTCTGCAAGAGGAGTTAAATGGATATCCGATGCTTTTGCTCTCAAGTTTCTGAAAAAAAGAAGACCTGGGCTCGTCTGACAGAATGCCATGGCTTTGTGGTGGTGGTCCAGCAAAATGATTTTTCGACAACAACGACCCCACAAGTATTCTACATTTATTGATGTGACTTCTATTTCGACCGCACTGAGCCCCAAAAGTGCATCCACCTTCGACGACGTAGAAAACTTCGGTTCCAAGTGGATAAAGACCTTCAGTAGACCTTAACGCTGTGATTCTATGATGACCGATCCTCCTGCTGGTGCTGATGCACAAACAGTTAACGGATGATTTTTATAAGTGGTTTCCTCCATAACTCCTCTACAACGCTCTTCCTTGCTTCCATGATAGTTAAAGGGACTTGAAACAGGTTCGGATGCACTACTCGTGGACGGCGTTGACTGCATATCGAAAGAAATATTAAAGTCCTCTGCTTTGAAACGTGTTTAGACAACCGGAACAGCATTTGGCCCTTTTCATCTTGGTCGTTCACTGGTTCCTAAGAATTGTGAGATAAGCAGCCTTGCAAGGAGTCCTATCAAGGGTCTCTTCACTTCCACTGCTTAAGAACTTCCTCTCAAGCATCACTCGGGAGCTCACATTTAACACACGATACAGATGAAGTAAAGTATTGGTACATGATTTACAGTCAACCTAAGGCCCAGTGCATATGATTGCTTCCTCTGCGGTGCGATGCACATACTGTGAAATTTCTCTCCAACTCAAACAATTTCTCTCTTTGTGTGTGATTGTGTTGGAAAACGGCTGGTCTGACGTCTGCACCCGGTGAGCCTCTAATTCGTGCTGTCAGCTCGTTATACCAGCCAATCATCGATTGTGGGGACATGGAACGACCACACGATTTGAATAGACCCAGCCACTCCAATCTGCAGTGTGAAGTGAGAAACAGTTGTGAGTGAGAGGACCCGCAAATTGGTCTGAACGATTTCCACTTCTTCCCCAAGTAAAAAACATTCTGCTCGTAAACCCTGGTGAAAGAGTAGCAACATGACACAAAGTCCTGAGACATACATTTAGTTCTGGGATCAGTGAACGTATGCAAAGTTGGTGCCTTTAATCAAATCAGGTCAGGTCAAGACCTGACGTGACGTTCGTAGTAGGAAGAGAAACTGTTGGGAGGTTAGGTAAGCATCATACACTTCATCAGACCAACGAGTTTGGGTGTTCTATTTCTTGGTGCAAAACGTATTCCACAACAGCACGCATTGGTCAACGATGTTCTGCAAATGATATGACCATGAGCTCTCTGACGGTAGGAGAGGGACTGCTTTATCAAGATCCAGATGAATAACCGAAGGCTCTATCTTCTTACAACACGACAATACCAGAGAAACCAACTGCAAATTGCCGTTAATGATGCTCACGAGCAAGGAGGAAAATTGACCCACGGCAAAACTTTGGGCGTGGCCTCTCGGTACTGCTGGTGGACTTTGCTTTACCCTGTGTGATCAGACAGAAGTCCAGATGCAAAGATATCACACAGGCGATGTTGCAAGGTGGAGATATATTTACAATCAGAGTTTGAGTGCAATGGCAACCTTCAGAACATTGTAGACTCCATATGTGAATATACAATTACCTACTGACAACAAAATGATACCTGAGCAACTGGCAGAGGTTTACACAAGACAGAGACTCTACTTTGTGGAGAGAGTGACACAAGCTTTTCACAAATTTTCTGGCCAAAACTCTCGGAAGAAATCTCGAGCAAAAGCTGCCTCCTGCATTCGGTTTGCTTCAGCTTCCATCTTTAGCTCCTTCTTGCTCTTCTTTTCTTCTCCATCCTACACCCAGTCAAGTAGAAACACTGAAAAACCTGCCTCCCCGTCCGTTTATGCAAGGCTTTCTAACATAGTTAGAAAACCTATCTACTTGCATCCATAGGCTGAATATATGTTAGATGCAGGAAAATCTAACTACGTAGATTATACCAACGTAAAGAAAGCTATATCCGATATAGCTTTCACCATCATCAAGAAGATCAATAATGGTTCTGGTTCCTTTTCAATGCAAGCAGAGTCTGGCTCCAAGCGGAGACACTGATCTATCAATTTGACCAAAATTCCTCAAGCATCACATTTAAAATCCGGCTTACGCAGGCAAAATCTGCCTCCATGCGTCAAATTCTGGGACAACATCAATTCTCTACTTAGTGCTTAACGAACTAGGATGATTGGCAAGGAGCTCTTAAGGCAGTACTATTGACGTAATACTTACCAATGCTGACGCTTCTCGCTGAAGCTTTCCATCGCTCTTCCTGATACTTTTCCTCTCAGCTCCAATTCCACGCCTGTCCAGTTTGAATGGGGCCTCAAGTGGATTCAACCTGCCCTGAAAATATCACGATCAGAACTATCAACGTGGGGGATTCCGAACAAACTAGATCATTTTGTCGACGTCAGGACCGAGTTCTTGTCATGTCAAAGAATCTTAAGCAAAGGCACTATAAGTAAGCCGTAATCTAGCTATTTAAGACCAGGACCCTGAACAATCTTACCTGCTCAAAGACTCCGAGTCCAGATCCTTCCTTCCAGCCTGACTTCTTCAATAACTACACGGGAAAATGAGGAAGGTTAGGATACCCGCAAGACTCATCAACTAGAGAAAAGGCAGATCACAGAAGAAAGTCAAAGCCTCCATGCATTGAGTACTGAGAGATAGCTACTCAACATATATAACGAATTTCTATACGCAACCAAAAATGAATCCTCACCTTGAATCCTATGTTCGTTTCGGATAGATTGTTTGACGCCTTCACTCGACGAGCGTCTGGTGGCTCTTTTGAAGATGGTGGGAGATCTAGAGGTAACCCTGTTAGTTCACTGAATATGGATGCAGAGGTCGGTTGTGAATCCTTTGAAGAATCGCCAGCTCGTTCCTTCTTCCATCTACTTCCGCCATAAACTTCTGTCCTTTGCTCAAAGTTGGAGATCATTGAAACTGCCAAGTCCCGTCTTTCATCAAACAAAAATTTCCTTGCCCTCTTTTTTGAGCCATCAGAAGGATGTGCCATGACAAAGGTGATACAAAACGCAGAGAGAAGGTTTTGACCTACGTGGAATATTTCTTGCAGAATCTACCTGCAGTGAAGACGAAGACAAGTATTAGTCAAAATCAGCCATGGAAACTGAGAGGCAGCTGCAATTGTCTGAAACTGAGAACGCTTCTGCTGCGCAAATTCGAAAAAATGTGGCGCAGATAACGAGAAGTGTTTTATCAGGTCGTTGCATCTACACACTGCATTCCAAGCGTTGTTCTCGGTTGCCAACATATATCTTCAAGCTAGCCCTGATGTTGGAAACGTCAAACAACCACAGCATTAAAGAGAGCTAATGATAAAGAGCTCGAATGATATCATGATCTAAACAGGTACGTCGTTCACTCCCCACATCCACACAACACTGTACCCGTACCAGGTGGATGAGAATCTCTGGTAATTGTCAACAAGATGAAAGGGAAACATGAGAAAATCGTTCATGATCCCAAAATATTTAGTTGGCATAAAATCCGAAAGCCGCACAAAACCTAGAATTGGACCGATATGGGAATACCCTTAAAATCAGCCCCTCGCAGACAACCGGATCTGGTTGAAGAAGACAATAGTTACCTTCAATTCCTCGCCAAGTTGTGCGGCAAAGTAAAATGATTCCTACGAAACCTCCCCTTCAAACGACGTCTCCTCGGAGCAGCATGAAAGGCGAACCCCGAGCAAGCGCTCATGGCGACACGCTAACAAACCATCGGTTCCAGAACTCGACAACCTTCTGAACAGCCGCGCGCGTTCTGGAGCTCTCATGGACACAAATTCGCAAACCTCCGACTCAGAAATCACCTGGCACTAAAATTTCGATCAGCGATATTCCTGCAAAGCAACCGCAAAACTGTACCGCTTTCGTCGGCAGCTCCTACGCCCAGGATATGGATCGAATCGAGCGGAAAGACTTCACGGGAGCCGGGCTCTTCGTCATCCTCTCGAATCGCGTCGGTGAAACAACTTCAGCTCGAGCCGACTATTCAGATTTCGGTTCTATTCGCCCGCCTGGTTCATAATCTGTCTCACATGCGAAGTACGGACAGGAGAACCCACACCTCGGGAACAGAACCCGACCATTCCGAACACGTTTGCGACGGTAAGTTCTCGCCGGCCGGCGTCCGGGTGGTCTGAGATTCCGACAAGTAGAGGTATCGAGTGATGACGTGACACTTGACACTTTGACGTTTCGGTGAAGGAAGCGTGGGTTTATGCCAGCGTTGGCGGGGATTGACAGACGTTTTGGTGGGGTGTTGAGGGCTGAGGGTTTAAGGGTAGCGCGCCATGGGGAGTGACAGCTCGTCGGAAGACGAGGACGAAGAGCACAAAGCTCGAATGCGCAGCGTGGCAATCGATTCCTCTGCGGTCATAAACATCGCTGCTGGGCGTGGTGCAGACAACAGCACTGCCAAGCTCGGATCCAAACGGAAGAAAAAACCCGACGGCGAAGAAGATTTCGATGAGGACGGGGGCTTGAAATTTGCTCAAATTAGGGTAGTGCCTTCCTTCCTGCCTGCCTGCCTGTTCGATGGATGGATTCATGTCTTTCCATGTTAGATTTCCTGTCTTACAGCTTTTGCATCATGCTTTACTCAATCCCCAGATGTAACTCTACTTTTTTGTCATAAAACCCATGCTTCTTTTCTCAGCTGCAGGTTGGAAGAAGTGCAGTATGATAGAGATGGCATCAACATTGTACTGTATTGAACCCTCCAACCAAGCCTGTCCTGGATATCTGTAGCCTGCTTCACCATGTACATTGAAGCGATGACATTCATCACGTTACTACATCCCAGAATCTGTAGGAAGTCCGCCGATTAGCTTCCTAGAAAACTGTTGTGACGGATTTCCATCAAGATCGGCTGCCTCTGAGGACGACTTTGCCATTGCCAGTAAGAGAGAGCTGCTTGACTTCTAATTTTCAAGTTGGTATTATATTCAGGTGCAAGATCTTCTCCATAAGCACCTTGATAAGAGTATTGGGGCAAGTTTTGTGGATGTGGCATCCGAGCCCATCGCTGTCGCCGGAACTGATGAGAACGATGATTTTGACAGTGAAGTTCGTCTCTTCAGTAGAGCTCCTCTGGGCATCAACTTGAAGCGCCCAGGTAAACCAATTCCGCCAACAATGTAGAAGTTGGAGCATACCCTGGCTGGGTCTTCTCCTTCCTGGAGTGACAAGATTGCATCAAGCTCAGTTTGAAGCACCCAGCACATTCAAGTCCACGTCAACTGAGAAGTTTATGTTTTCGTCCCGAATAATGTGCTGGCCTTTTGCTTGGTTGCTTTGTGGACTGATGCGCAACTGTAATTTGTAGAGCGGCCGAAGCAGACGAGTCGTCCTAAACGATACGACAGTAGTGACGAAGATGAAACGGAGGTACGCCTATCGATCCCAGCATTATGTTACCCAGTTTATGTGAATTGGTCTGGGTGGGAAGCATGTGGTCGAGCTTCCATGCATGAAAGGAAGTGGTAAGTCTTCATGTAGAACATTCAGACACGTATTGAGCCCACTTTATCTTGTGTGCAGAAAGTGTCTCGACTGCAAGCTGCAGCTGTCGATGGCTCATTTGTGTTGACTCAAGCTGAGAAAGCTGTAGCCAAAGCTCGAGCTAGAGCTATCAAAGCAGTTGAAGCTGCCGAGAAGGCAGAGAAGGAAGAGCAGGAGAGAGTGGCGAAGCTTAGAAAAGAACGAGGAGAGGAGTGGCTTCCAAAAATTGCATCCGAATTGAGGGGGACAAAAGGCGTAGTACCAAGCAGCAAAGGACAAATAGGAAGAGTTATGGACGTTTAGTTTACAACTCGGGTACAAGGTGCTGATACAAGAAATCCATAGAAATAGAAATCCAAGGAAGTAGACGAGTATGTTCAGAAACCTTCAAGAACTCAAAGCTTGAAACTTTAAAAGAAAGCATCAATACCTATCTTTGCTGGATTCAGGAAGGATATATATCGGGAGCAAATGAAAGTGACCCAGTGAAAGTCGAATTAGAGGCGACTGACAATCATTAAATTTCAGTTGATTTATATGTACATTAAAAGAAGTTGGCTCTTTACATGTAGAGGTGCTCTTGGGAACTGAAGATCTTGCAGAATGGAATGTGCCTCATACAATATTGGAGTAGAATGAACTAATGGTTTTCGGCTCCGGACATATATTACTCCACCGACATTAGTAAAGAACACCTTCATGCAGCTTTGGAGCTAAGTTTCATTCTGCTACCAGCTAGAACGTTCCAACGACTCCCGGACTTATCTCTAATCCTATAACTAATTCTAACCTTGCTCGATCAGTCCTCTCAGTAACGGAAGCACTCGTTGGAGTGTACCTGCTGTATGACGACATGAGCAATTGCATGCTGTTGACTACAGGAGGTCACTCATCCACTGTTGGTCATCAGGATACTTGCTGCGAAGCCGCTTGTATCTACAAGTAGTTCGTCGAAAATCTCCGACCTTGCTAGTTTTGGGCGGACATAACTGACTTCAAGACTCTTTGGCAGCTAGTGATCTTCATAGCGGATGAGCGCCTTTCCCCGTCAGAGCTTCCACAACACGCAGAGTCAGACCTGATCGACGGATGTGTAAAAACTAGTGTATAAATTGTGCATTGCAACAATTTCATGATGCTAGTCAGGAATTGTAATGTAAACAATTTTACTAAAAGATTGAGCTAAACTGATTGTGTGACGGCAGCGAAGTCTCTTGGGCCATGAGGAATTAAAATTTACATGCACACTTTCAAATTCATCTAACCATTCAATGGACCTGATCTCAGAGCAGGTGCGCCAGAACTTGAACTTTGTGAGGGTCAAAGCCACTTGTGTGTCCTGTGTTAAAATGACGACTACTTTTTAATGTTCCACTTTTCTCAAACATTAGTTTGATATATAAGAGATCCACTGGAAAATCCAGAAGATGAACTCATAATTTCATTATTTGCAATGAAGTTATTCCCTGCCAAACTTTCATTCTATGAAATTTAAATCGGAGCTAGTGGTTGCAATCTCACTGCAAAGTTGCATAGTAAACCACACTTTAATCGAACATGGGTATCTCTCCTAAAAAGACTTCGTCACTTGGGTAGATAAGACCTTAAGATGTTCAGAAACTGGTGTGGGCTCAAGCTTCGCAGTCCATTAAGTTTCCCTCAAGATCTCAAAAATCATGAAACTACGGAGGCCACAAATTCCTGAAAAGAGATAGATTTATGTCAGCAAAAAGACAAACGTTTTGACCGAACAAACTTTTTCCAGAAAGTTGTTTATATTTGACTGATCTCCGGACGAGCAATTTTAAGAGTGGATTCCAACATAGTCTGTAATTATACTGCTCGAAATTAGCCAACCGGAAGAAATCGAAAAAGCGTGATGAAAAATCTGGTTTGATCATGTACCTCTTGGGCATGTCTTGAACATCCAACAAAGGCTTGTACAAGCTTCGCGCACAACAAAGGATTCTGCAGCTCCAACGTACTATTCATGTGAGACTTATATTCTCCCAAGATATTCTCTATTTCTCACGGAACTCATGTCGAAACTTTCTGATGAGTGGAGTTTCCTGTTCCATCTCAAGGTCGAACAATTTAAAGGAGAGGGCTAGTGTGTTCATGCACTGATCTAGAAGAAGAAGAAGAAAACCAAACACAAACCTTCTGATTCTCTTTGTAGCAATCAACGCAAGCTGCACGCTCACTTGAACACGGGGGAGTATGTGATGGAGCCCTAGATCATTAAGCAAAGACAAGTCAGAAGATGACAGCAAATATTTTCTCGACAATTTGCTTACAAAAAAATTTGAGATGTTCAGAATCCTTTAGTTCAAAACTAGGAGTTTAAGCAAAGGAACATATGTTCGCATATCGTGATCGGGCCTGCCAACATGGAGTGAGGAACTTCATCACCAAAGATACCACTTACCTGTACTGTTTGTCTTTAAGTTCTCGTGCCATTTCCTTCACCTTTTCCAACTCATGATCTCCTTGTTTGTGCAATTTCTGAGCGATTTTTTCCTGCAACGTGTCATCAGATTCCCAATAAGTGGTCGTACATGTCATAAGAATGTCTTCCATAGGGCAGCTGCGGTTTCTATCGACACGATCAACGCCCTCAAACAAGACATAGAGTTTATCTGATCAATAACTGCAAGATTTGCAGACAAATATTGGACTTTACTTTGACATGACTAACCTCCATCTCAGCAGAAAGTTCAGACCTATAAGTCTAAGCAAAATGTGGTGGTGAATAACTCACACTTTCTTCTATAGCCTGATATACAGGAGCAAGCTCTTTCTTGAAATCAGCCGCAGGTGGAATTGGAGAGCCAAAAATGCCACCAAAGGGGGCTTGGGGTCCAAGAAAGGACGGTAAAAATGGATCACGGGCTGGACCTCCTGTTGCAGATGTGATGGCCTGGCTATCCTGATCATCCTTAATTATTCTTTGTGCACTTGGTAACTGAGATACTGACTCGCGTTTCTCTCTGGCAGGCCTTCTTCGTTGTGGCTTTTTCTCATCACGAGTCAATCTTTGCATAAGCTCAGGTGTTACCTGCAAATTCTCGGTGAGTGTGAGATCGGAAAAATAATCAAGGCACATGTGAGGGAAAGCATACATCGTACCACTTCGTCTCTCACGCTCAGTGGAGGCATAGAAGCAGCTGAACGACCCAATATATAACAATCGTATATTTTCCAAAAACTAGACTCGGCGCTATGAACACTTATCATCTAGAGCTTCAAGACGGCTCTCTTGCAAGCTAAACGCAGTCCAAGCATGCAGAACTGTATACAGAAGTCCATGGTCTTCAGAAAGTACGCGGAGGAAGAACCAAAGAGTATCTTGAACACTTGTACCTATTAAACTCTCGAAAATTGTATGATGACGTTGAATCTACCTGCACTCTCACATAAAATAGGACGGGTGATAACGATTGTCCTCACGGTAGTATTCCCGGTGCGTCTAGGTCTAGAAGTCTTACGATTCTGGATAAGGAATTTCACATAGTAGAACATCACATGAATTTCAAAAAATGAACATTGTAATTCTAACTTCGTGCTGTACTGTTTTTCTAGATCATAAGCAGACGTTCTCTCTCTAATCATCTAGTTCTCCAGGGTCGAAATTGATTACTTTCAGATCCTAACTCGCAGGCTACGAGACACACAGGGGAAAAGGAAAATTGGGGATTGTAAAAGAGCTATGGAAAATGAATACAATCTGCTAAGCTGGCTCTTAAGGAAAAATGATGGAATCTCGAATTCCACTGGCAATCGTCCAGCAACGAATTGCGAGGACATAGGAGCATTTCAACTATCATAATTCAGCTACGCAATAAACGAGCGTACATCGAAATCCGAGGAGCGCACCTGAGCTCAGTCTACAACCGAACCCTAAACAATTCAATGGCATTTGAAGAATAAGAAAGATGTTCCGTATAAGTATCTGAAGTATGGTGAGAAGTGCAATGCGAAGGACACTGAGACTCGAACACATCGCACTATCAAAGAAATGGACGAGGTCAATGCCCGCCATGTACAGGATAACAATCAGATTCTTTAAGCTTCTTCACTCCCTGCCACTGGAAACTCGAGAACAGGGATGCAAAAGTACCTGCAATGCAAAAGGGTTGCTCATCTCGACCTCCTCTTCCCTTCAGCACCAAATCCTATCGCCTCCTCTTTTGCTCCAGGAAATAACGCCCAAAGAACGCAGATTCTTGACCACCTCAAGCTCGATCGTCAAAAACTCAAGTCCATCACAAATCGAAGCTGTACGATCGTAGGCGCCACACACAACTTTCTTCCTGACGCCGAAAAGAAGGAAATTCAAAATTCACCTAAACACCAACTCCGATCAAATCTCCTACCGGACGAACTGGAGATCTACCACTGCCGTGGCTTCTCCTCTCCCCTCCTCACCTGGCCTCACCTCACTTCGCCTGGGCCTGGGCCGGGCTGGGCTGGGCTTCCTCCTTCACTGTAGATGAATGTCGATTCGTGTGCGTTCCATGAGACAGACCAGGCACAAGACAAACGGGACCACGGGGTCTGGACTACCTCTGTGCAGAAGGACAGGACATGTGGCGCCGTGCTTCTGACTTCGACAATTCTTCACCCACCTCCTTTCGTTTCACTTTCCGTCTTCCTATAATTGATTCTTCCTCAACATGGTGCTGGAGAAATGTGACGCTTGTGCCATATTGGATGATAGCGTATCCCTGGGAGGAGGGGACAAAATATGTTGCTCGATTCAGGGCTAGAGCACCCGTTGTAATTCCTTTATTTGCCTGGAGGCAAAACCATATTCGTTCATCATATGGTTTCGGCTTGCTTGTAAAACATCTCTGAGATGACAATGCCCGACTTCCTTTGTTGTAGGATGCAATATTAAGGTGTGGGACATCTCGTCTTGGAAGCATTTGATAGCTTCAGGACGTTGTCTACAGTGCCAGGGAGTCCTGGGATTTGATGAGGGTGTGGATCACTACCCGCTGGGACGCTTTCATGTTACTGTGAGACTGTGGTATCAATGTCATGGAATAAGATTGATGTGGTGTGAATTGACAACCTCTGTGGGCATATACTTGCTGCCGATGGGTAGAAGGAAGAACTGAAGCGCTGCGCAGTTTGCTTACGTATCCGGCGATAGTATGGGTCCAGGTGTGGAAGTGTGTGGGTGAGCGACTGAATCCGTTAGACTTGACAAAACCTCTCCTTTCATACATACATCGTGTGACATAGCATATATCCGAAATTCCAAGATAACACGGAGAGAAACCATCTGCAAGTTATATTCATCCGTGCATGATCTGCCATAATATGTCCATCCAGAAATCAGGTCGCATTCCTCTGGCCCACCGAGAACGGAAAGCACATGACACTAAGGTCTACTTATGATGATGCACCGATAAGCGCCTTAGAATCATGAAAGGTAGGTATTTCAAAATCCTCTCCTTGTTCTAAAGACATAATAAATCTTACAAAGCACATTCTATTCCTCCAGAGGCCAAGACTTTTACACTTAAAATGTCAAATTGCGAATGTGGGAAAGTTCCGACACAGATTCACATCAACAGGTATCTTCAAGGCTCCTCAGTAGTATATCACAGAAGGTTTGTGGTATACACATTAACTATCAAGTCGGACTGAGGTCCAGCCGTTCACATCAAGTCCCGAGACAAGGCAGATTGAACCGATCGTGGTACTCAATTTGTCCACTGCTGAATGAGACTCATCAGTGAATGAGTTTCCCTGATATTCTGATACAGTCCAAACAAGGTCCTTTCAGGAGAAAAGCATTGCCTCAATCGATCAATCTGTACATTGATATCAGTCCGGTGGTAGACATTTTGTTGCAAACAAAAGCTCGCTACTCCGTGATTCTTTATCTGTGGCCTACTTGTACAGAAGCTTGTGCTTGGACCAGACCCTACTGACGACACCAAAGAATTAGAATGAATTTAAATGACCACGGTTAAAAAAAATATACACTACACTTCCCTATTGTCATAATCCCAAGAATGTGAAGATGTATCAAGAAGAAAAATGTAGGATTTCGCTATTCTTGACGTTCCAATTCACTCATTCGTTCGATAATAGCCTGCACAGGTGCAATTTCCAGCAGGTCATGGAAAGCATGAAATAAGCTAACATTCTACACAAAAGTTCTACCTGTAAATCCAATGTACTAGTTCTTGATGTTTCATGAAGTAAGTCTTCAGGATGCACGTACCTTTTTACTCGTTTCTTGCAATTCACCGGCCAAGATGAACTCATCAAGAATTAGGTACACCTGCCAACGGAGGACAAATCAAATTGTCATCCTTGTACTTCTCGATTACATGTAGAATAAAAACTATTTCAACCGGCAAGTCTATCCGTTTAGAGTTTAATTCATCATGACTCTGTAGAGCCATTGAAAAAACTTCCCTAGACTTTGTATGGTAGGCAAAGGAGAAAACTCTAATAAGTTACATTTTCTTTTCTGCCTACAAATACGTACCTTATGGAAATTGAAAACCAAGTCCAGTTCACAGACATTGCTGAAGAAATGATCCAGTATTTCTACAAAGAGATGAATACTCTCAAGATATGCCAACTCATTGTCGGTTATGTCCACACACATGGAGAAAAAGAGACCTGCATAGCGCCTGTAAATAACCTTGTGTGTCCGGAACTGCCCATGTCGTATTGCACAACCGAAAGATGAAATAAGTGGTGTGTCAACAGATTATGAATTAGTTTACATTGCAAATTCTTCGCAACTTAGAATTTTCACAGCAAAATACCACCACCTCAAATTAATAAAAACAATTGAAATCATATTCGATGATCATCCTTGATTTGAGAGACTACTATGTGAACGTGAAAACATAAAAAAGTTTACATCCCGCTGTTGGTGATAAAGTACAAGTCTCAAGTTGCACATACCTCCACGAAGTTTGTAAACTTTGGGTCTCTGTTGACCACTAATCGGTGAACCTGAATTGCACGAGTGGAGGTAACTATTAGAACATAAAACAACGTGTTTCAACAGAGATTACTAGTTTTGCATTTTCATAAGAAGCGGAAAAACCTTCGTCTCAACACCCATTACTGTTAACGAACTCCTCAGTTTAGTTTCAGAGAAGAGTTACAACTTCTTCCGAAGTCATCATCACTTTAGCGAATGAAAAAACTCTCAAGACGCCTACTAGTTTAGGTGACTACGGTGAGCCTTGTTTCGATTGCAGTGTAAATTCCAAGATAGATTATGAAGTTGGAACTAACCTTATAATCCAATTAGTGCTTTTCAGGATACTCAGTTGAAGTTTAGTTTCAGTGAAGAGTTACAGTTAGTTCCGAAGACGTCATTAGTTTCATATACATATAAAATCTGAAGACACCTATCAGTTTTCAGTAAGGATTGTGAGCTATATTTTGATTCCAATCTAAGATAGATAAAGAAAAGTGGAACGAACCTCATACTCCAGCTTGTGCTTTTCAGAATCCTCAAGGGGGACGTAGTATTTTGCAAGCCTGGTCTTTCCTTGACGATTTTGTAGTAGAATGAAACGAATCTAAATCCAAAATCAAATTAATCCATCAGATGTTTACAGCTATTGACAACAAGGGAGGAGGATGTCCACAAGTGATAAACAGTATTAAACCGAGATTGGAACCAAGCCTGGAATATTCCATGAAAACATCAAAACAGGAAACAAAAGCAACATAATGGCCCATTTCCATTGTCAGGTAAGGTGAATATGTCCGAAGTTCTAACCAGTCATGCAAAACATGTAAATTTCTCCTATTTTAGCTCTGAGAACTGTTCGGGAACCTCCCATACAAAGGAAAAACCTTCACGTTTCCAAAGTTAGACAGGAAGCCTCAAAACGTGTACTAATTGAAGTTCAGATCGACAAGACAAACAATGAAATATGACCGTAATGTACACAAAGACAATCATGGGTATCGCACACCTCATACAATTTCTTGCAATACTCAGCATCAGTGTAACGCTGAAGAGGATACATGAAGTACAAGAACGAGAGGACCAAATCAAGAAACCAGTTGCTTTCAAATTTTCATGTGTCACGATCTACTCATGGCAGACTAACAGTACTAAATAGGCATCAAATGACAAGGTCGAATTAGACCGTCAGTGGACCAACTCAACCAGTGCTGATATTATGAAACTGGGGAGAACGAAACACCATCCTCTTGTCTCTCTAGGCACCCATCAAAGCTGTCCGCATTTGAAGCGCTACGAACACCGAGAAGGCTAAAGGCAATCCGACCATCACAAAAACTAAAACGATCCTCTCTTCTCTTCTCTTGTCTCCTCTCCTCTCCACCCCACTATCCGTAGAGGCCCAATCTAGTCATACCATGGCTGCAACGGGGCGCTTCCGAGTCACTGCGGTCTCTCCCGCCCCGCTCCTCCTGTCCTGCCTTCTCAGTCCTGACCGTCCCCTCCTCTCGGCCTTCCACGAGTCCCACGATACACCTTCCTGCCGACGAGTTCTTGCTGCCTACTTCTTGAGCGTCGTCCTCCGCCGCCACCACCACCAACACCACACACATACACCAACAGATCTTCCCGATGTTCTGCTCGGCAACGTTGCAACTCGCAGCTCGCAACTCAACCAAAACCAATCGACCACTTCGCTTCTAGTTGCTTTCCCTTGCCGTAGAAAGCTACGAACACATGATGTCTCCTCTGCGATCGATGCTCTCCCTCTGTCCTCTGTCTTGCGTGAGTTCTGCACTGCACCACAGTGCCCTGTGTCGGCTGCGTCTACTGCAACTGCAGTCTACGCCAGAGAGCAGGAGCCGAGATCTTCTTCATGGTTGAATCAGGGTTTGGATACGTCAAGCATTTTGCCCCAGTGTGGTAGACCACAGCGCAGCTTGAACAATTATCCATCTTTAAATAATGTTCCATTTTAAACTCCATCTTTCAGGGTAAAAATATTTAACGATATTCACAATATTCTATGATGTGCAACTACCTATTTAAAAAGTAAGCTTAAATCTTCATGCATGTATGAAGCTTTCAAGAAGGAATGTAGAAAAGGTTTTTAATTTAAAAAAGATAATAATTTAATATTCCAAATATTAATTTCAAATTTAAATATTTGATGAATTTTAGCAATGATTTAGTAACAGTCGACCGGAAAAAGTTGTATAGTTATTTTTTTCGGCCTCTCCTTCTGTTAGACCCATATTGTTATTGTACTCCATCTTAGTCGATGTTTTTTAATACCGTATGTCATGGACCCTGGTTAGAGAACTGCTGTCAGTGCACATGGCGTTGAAGGAGGCCGTCCGTCCCCAGTGAATGACAGGGTCAATTTGGTCGGAGTGAAGTTCAGACGATGTGTCGCAAAATGAGAGCCATTATAGTCAAGTCTTTCCATTTAATAAATTCTAAAATTCCGATATGTTTGATCCCGTCAAGCCCACTGTGTTCACTGAAATCTCTGCATGGAATGAGAAAGTATTCACTCACCAAGCTGCATGTACGCACAGATTTAATGAGGATTTTGAAATGTATGTTATATTTAACTTCGTAACCAACCAACAATCTAACTTGGTACGCCGGAGGAATGCCATAGGTAATACTGGAATACACAACCTTCTTTGCTCGTATGCAATAGACACAACCTGGGAAATACAATATACCAATCACACCACAGTCCAGTAGGGGTGAACATAGTATCCGACACAGAGTTTTGGATGGATACGGCCAGAGGTTCCTCGCTCGCAAAGTTTGGAACTCTACTTGCTTACAAATGTACAACACCACACAATCGTAAGGAATTTCTTGGAAATGTGGTCGCGAGGCCATTCCACAACATCGCTCAGGACCCTACTTTCTACTAGCCGTCTAAATCTCCTCGAAAAAGCTTTCTAAGGGCATGCGACTCCCCTCTCCAGCCTGCGAGCGAAATGAAGGAAATAAGCGCGTGGATTAGTTAACGGACGGTTTGAATCATTGGCTCTACGGAGATTCATATCACTTGTGAATTCTCTTGCCGATGTAGAATATTCCGAGTTTCCATCCATCTAGGTGGACATCGTCCGACGACCAGAGGTCTTTCTCTCTCATGGATAACTCAAGTTCTTTCAATATATGATTCGCATCAATAAAAGGTTGTATCCAACAAAGAAATTTCCCAAATTCAAGTACATCTAATGTTACCTACGGAGATTCATATCTTTTTATTGCAGGGTCTGATTTTGTCTGCGATCCACTCTGAAAGGGCCGTATTTTTACCTTGTACCTTAAAGGTACGGTCTTCGTTTATCTCAATTCCAAGTAGTCGCTCTTCTTGCTCAAATATAGATTGTCTAGACGCTTGCAAGTGTCTTTGCTGGCCCTCTTGGGGTGCATGGGATCGTTGATTTTCAGTTGCGACTCGTTAAAGGCATGGAAGGAATGCGGATGTACTGCGCTCACGAGGACGGATCATTGTGGAGTGAGTGAGTGAGTGTCTGTGCAGCGCGTTCCATCGAGTGGGGTCAAAATCTGTCGTGAATTCGTCACGGTCGGCCAGGAGTTCGCGGTGAGCTCGTTCGTTCTTTGGGGCCGGGGCGAGCTGCAAATCGCATGGTGGTGCGCCTAGAGGATAGATTCTCGACCTGAAGCAGTTCTTTGCAGGCATTCTCCAGGAGAAGGATGGAGTCCACGGTTTGGCTGGCATCGCGATCCTTGCCTCGGCCTGGAGTCGGATGTTGCAATCTGCTGTCGAGAGTCCGGCGCAGCGGGGGAAGATTGAAGCCTTGCGGGAATGGCAGGAAGGTCGTGGTTTGTGTTAGTGGCACGGAAGGGAAGACCAAGGTTGTGATTGTCGGAGGTGGTGTGGGCGGTTTAGCTGTGGGGGGGCGATTGGCCAAGGAAGGATACGATGTGCACATTCTCGAGAAAAATTCTCACGTGGGAGGTCGTCTGCAGTCGTTGGAGGTCGAGGCGGCTGTGGGAGTAGGTGGCAAGAGTGATGATCCGGGAGGTCAAGAGTGTTTCAGGTTCGACACTGGCCCAAGCTTGCTACTGCTGCCTCAAAAGTATCGGGACGCTTTCACAGCCATGGGTACAGAGTTCGCATGCTGAGTGCATGAAAATTGTGCGGTGGGATGCTATTTTTGTCCTGTGCTTTTGATGACTGAGTACCGATGAGGCAGCTGATGCCAAAGCGTTGATGTTGAAGTGCCTCAAGGTTCCCGTGTGGTATGTGTTGCATTCAGGTGAAGATATGGATGACTACGTAACTTTGAAAAAAGTAGAACCTGCAGCGTATAGAGTTTTCTTTGGTGAGGACGAAGGAGTGCAGTCTCTGGACTTGCTCTATGACGTACAGAAGATGTGCCTACAACTAGAGCAGGTTGAAGAAGGAGCAGGCGGAGCTTTCTTACGGTTTTTGGCTAACGCCAAAGAAGCTTTGGACAAGGTTTTCCCCGAAGCTGTGTCCTGTATACCTTTAAGCTCCGGCCATTGTCCCGTACTCATCAACTAGCCTCTAGCATTTGACAATTGTTCCTCTATAGAAACCCTGCGAGTATACCAAGTTCTCTGTCTCTAATCTCTGCATAATTGACGGCAATCGTCCAAATGCTCGTGGCCTGTGTCGGCTTTGATGCATGAAACATGAAGGAGATCAAGAACCACGATGACATAGCGTTCAAATTATCCATGAGCGTCCAAGGCTTCAGAGAATGTGTCTGCTAGTAATCTGCTTTCTCTCCTGCTAGCTTTGGTGGTCATGATCAGAAAAGGGTAATGTTTTCGGTCCTGTGTTGGAAAGACTAGAAGGTGAGAATCGATGGAGAAGAACCTCACTGACATTGCTTCTCATTCAGGGGACAGCAAGCTTTATTGAACGTGACTTCAAATCTTTTTGGGATTACGCTGATGTGCCACGGTTGCTGCCTCTCCTGAAGCACCTGTCACCAATTGAACTTCTCGGACAGCACCACAGTACTATGAGGAACTATTTTAAAAATCCAAAGCTTCAGGCTATGTTTACCTTCCAGGCAAGGCTTGGAGCTTCTTCTTTCATGAAAAGATAGGCAAATGGTCCTTGAAACAATATTTGTGCTTAGAATCCAAAGTTGATCCGTTGTTGCAAATGACCTCCCAACTCTGAACCAGTGGGAATCATTTTTCAGGCCTTTTGAGTCTGGATATCCAAAGGAAGGACTGTGAACGTGTGTGGTCGGACGTTTTGCTGTCGTGAAGATCTTGGTGATGTCTGACTAATGACAGGTTTTTTGGGTATAGGATTTGTACGTTGGGCTCACTCCCTACAATGCTCCTGGCGTGTTCAGCTTGCTGGCAGCTACTGAGCTCACAGACGGTGTGTGGTATCCAGTGGGAGGCTTCGCTAAAGTTAGGGATGGCTTAGCCCAAGCAGCCCAGAAGGTAGGAGCAACGATAACAACGAAAGCAACCGTGAAGAGAATTGACCATGCAAACGGCCAGGTATACTTCAATGGAGCTATCGAATTTCTCTGAGAAGTTACAAATCTGAGTTATCTGAGGTTTCTTCTTCTCTGATTCTTCATTGATACTGGTCGAGGTCATTCGTATGTTGCTTTGTTATACACACAGCTGTAAGTATCCGTCTGTCGTACGAACTTTGGAAGGATATCAAGTTTGCCATTCGAGGTCGTGGACTTCGTGGTTGTGTATAATCCAGCTTATAAGGAGAGACTGTTATCACAGCTGGAGAAGATTCTATGAGAAAGTTCACTTAAACATTCCTTCTGTTGGACGAAACCTTACGTTAACCATCTTGCGTATTTCTCAAATTTCATGTTGACAGTTAAGTTCTTGTTTATCTCTCTTTAAGCTTGCAAACTGGAACGAAACTTGCAGGATTCAACTGCAGTATCAAGGGCTTTGTTCGAAGAAAATAGAGGCTTTCACTTAACACTCATTGGATTTTAACCAATGAAGGCAGTTATCATGTGTGTCTCAGAGACTTGCTACACCTTTCTAAGGATGGGAATCTTGAGCTTCAAAACCATGAGTAGGTCTCTTCCTGTTTCATGAATTTTGATAGGAGATCCACTTATATCGATCAGCTGCTTGAAGTTTCGGCCTGAAACTACAAAACACGACCGCTGAGCTGTGTGCAGGAAAGTTTATCATTATTGGCTCATTGCTAGTAGTTTTGTGCATATGTGGATATGCGAAGATAACATGTTGAACTTTATTGAATGTCACTCTACCATTGCCATCTTGAAAGTGTCTTAACAGATTGTCAAAGACCATGTAACAAGTAGTTGAAAACTACAATGTTTTTCTTCACATGTATATAGACATTTTATATGTTTGGTTTATGACTCTTGACTTTCAGTTTTTCTTATCCCGCCATAACTAATTTTCTCCAAAGTCTTTGAATCTCAAGTTCCTCATCATTGAAAAGGGTGTTGACCACCTTCATGATTATCCTAACAGAGCTGCTAGAGATATAAACCCTCATAACATAAATATAATCAGTTACATGAAGTAGCCGATAGATCGTTCTTTTCACATGCGAGACATTTCAAGTTTATCTTAGGAGAGTCTCCATGTAACTCATGAATATTCTCATCACTTTTCGGGAACCACCGAATGTCTGTAAGTTTCCAGTCTTGTTACGTTGTTTTTTATGCTTGTTCTTTCCTCACGGAAGCCGGACGAGAGTACTCGAGGGCAGTCTACGATTAAGTTGCACACCTCCGTACAGTGGAGGTTGTCCTATCTAACAACTTCTTTGGGGTGCGGAACATTTATAGAGTGCAATGCATTGTCTATCCCTGTTGTTTTCAGTCAACTGAATTCCAAATTTGGGGGTTTTATGACATCCCGAGCTAGTCTCTAGTCTCTATAAGTTTGTGTGTTCCTTGAATGTAATTCTAATTATGCACTCTCGTGTTCCACAAATAGAGTAATAAAATCCCTCTGCATCAAGAGTTTCAGTTTCTCTGAAAAACCACTTGAATTAAGGAAATGTTTGCAAGTCTGATGAAAATTTCAGAACTGACTCATTAGGCTGAATAAGAGCCTCAACGATGCTTGCGGTTGAATTTAACCACCTTATGGCTGTCAGGAAGTCAAACAGATTACATATCATATTTAATGTTACAGTAATAGACATTTGAAAGCATGAGTTATCTATCTAGCAAACGCTATTTATGTACATCAGTTGTAAAATTTCCAACAATTTCAGTTGTGACTGCAATTAAGAAATATAGGGGTTCAATTGCACTGCAGGTACAAGGTGTAACTCTTGAAGATGGAACTTTCATGAGAGCAAATATTGTAGTAGCAAATGCTGATCTACCATATGTTTACAATAGCCTTCTTGGCTCAAAAGGTGCGAGTTACTATTATCTTCAGCTTGTATTAGAGATATTCCTCTCCCTGTTTAATGTAAGACGAAGAAGATATTCGGTTAATATCGAAGGTCAAAGATTTACATGATCAACTTCATCTCTAGTTTGTATGTTATGTGGATATCTGCTATACCACTTTTCGCACAAAGATGTGGAAGGCATTGTTTCTGTAGATTCACTATGTCTCCTCACTCTACCGTAACTTTTCAGTTACATGTACTTAAAAGATCTCACTTATCTGCACGCAACTTTTATGGGATAGAGCTAATCTAACACGATAAAATAAATTAGTTGACTTTGAAAGTTAACATATTTCTTTTATGCATTATAAAAGAAGGAAGAAAACTATCTAGATAATGAAGAATTCAAACTTATGATTTCTATTATGTCAAAATCTTCAACCATCATCCATTCGATAGTTTTTTATTTTGGGTGCTATCAGGTTTCTAACCTGTTTGTAATGTTCGAATATTCATAGGGTGTTGAACAAATCTAGGCTCGTGTGGAAGGTTTTATGGATTGCCGAATGGATGACAACAGATTTATATGTGCAAACAACACATAAAGTTTCTATTTGAACTTCACTCCATTCTACTTCATTGCTAAAACTCATTCATAAAACTGTAGTTTACCAGATTTGTGCTAAAAGTTCTCGTCCCGAAAGTCTCCTTTGCATCATAACACAAACTGAACCTCACATTTTTACTGTTGCTGATTTTGCGCAGTAAAGACACAAGCTTCGAAGCTACTAAGTTCAAAATATAGGTTAGTTTTTTGTTAGCGTTGGGTATCCAGAACAAAGAGAAATATTGTTTTTCAGTCGCAGGTGCTGTGATGAATTTATCTTGAGAGCGAAGATTCTTACGGGTACTTTAGGGAAATTTCATACTGGGGCCTTTTCATCGTTTACAAGTACATTTTTCAGATGCCTGAATCTAAATCCTTCCTCACCTCTTGACCTCACGATTTTGTCTTTTTGCTGGAGTACAGTGCAAGCGTCATAGCCTTCCAATGGGCTCTAAGTTCTCGCTTGGAGAGGCTAAGTCATCATAATGTTTTTCTTTCCAATTGCTACGAGGAAAGTTGGCATCGTGCAACAGATGCTTCTACTATACTTGAGAGACCCAACTTTTACGTTCATGCTCCATCTCGTACAGATTCAACTGTCTGTCCTCTAGGTAATGCATGCAAGCAAAACTTCTTGCTTTGGCACTTTACTGGTATTATTTGGATGTTGACTCTCGTCCAGTTGGATTTCATAGCCAGTACACGAGTTGATGCAACACTCTGATTTGTTCATGACCAACGTCTGTTTTGGTTGTCTGTGCAGGTACTGACGCTATAACTGTCCTTCTGCCTGTTGCACATCTGGGTGAAGGATTTAGTATAGGGAGTGCAAGTGATGACAAACAAATAGTAGAAGCCGCTAGAGAAAGAGTAATCAGCAGTTTAGTAAGATCTGGAATCGGAGATATATCTTCTATGATTCTTTCAGAAGTTGTCTATTCCCCTCCCACATGGCAAGACAGTTACAACCTCCAGTACGGTGCAGCCTTTGGCCTTGCACACAATCTTCTGCAATTAGCTTATTTTCGCCCCGACGTAGCAGAACCATCCATCAAAGGGCTCTATTTTGCTGGGGCTTCAACTCGGCCTGGGAATGGAGTCCCTCTAGTTTTGATGGGCGCCAAAGTCACAACAAATAGGATTCTGGAAGAGAACTACCCTTTCTTATCTGGAAATTAATTCATCAGTCTCTTTGTGTCTGGACTTGTACTTCAAACGATGACATATATGAACCCATGTAGACGGTCCTTATCGATTCACTTGCACAACATTCAGTGCCAGAAAGGGCCATCAAAACTTCGAATGTTAGAAATTTGGAATCGAAGGCCGTTGAAGTTGTCAGAGATGCCGATGATCTGTACATTCCTTACAAACCACAGGAAATCCGTGAATTTACTTGAGTATAACAGGAAGTCTGTACGGTACAGTTGCTGACTAGCCCGATAGCTATAACAGCCCACGCCCGTCTTACTTTGTCTCACGTCGTGTACCTGTTCTTACACCTAATGGTTTATGCATGCACGCCGAGCCTATGAGAAAATCTTCTGCGTCTTGATGGGATGAAGATTGCAAGGAACGCACTATTTCACACCTCTAGGCAGGCAGATCGGCGGTATCGTCCCTCTCTGTTGATAACTCGCACTGATCGTCCAATTTGTATATTATTTTGAGTAAGATAAATCATAACGAAATAAAACCGATGTGGGTCCTATGGAGGGCAGTGTCAAGCGCTTCTTTAGAAAAGTGTGACTTCAATCCGTTATGACTTAACGTTGCCTATCGAGGATACGACGAGGCTCGATCTCTAGTTACATCCTACACTCCATGTGGATAATGCGGCCATATGGATTCAACGAAGGTCAAGAATTTCGGTTGAGTTACGTGGAAAGTAATCTTGAGGCCAGATAATTAGACATAACAAAGAAGGTAACTACCTCGAGGTGATAACATTGCTCCATGGAGTCAAAGATAGAGGCACATTTTCGCTCGTACATGGAAGAAGTGGATCGAGACAGCCAATCCTAACAAATTGTCTATGCTTAAGCACTGTTATCATGAATGTTCGTGACTTACTTTCTTTGCATGCAGTTGAGAGTTTAGCCACCAGTGAGCACCAGAAAGAGAAGAAGTGAGTTCCAGATGTTGGAGTGAGTAGTTCAAGCTGACCCACCATAAACCAATCACCAATCCATAAACGGTTGAATAGACCACATATAGATGATTCTTTGTCTTTTCCGGGTAAGCCTTTCCATTATTTCTAAGCCTTCGTCCGTCGATCCAAATTAAGATCTATTTGGACCTATGAACGTATGTTCATACGTAACTCGGATAAAGAGTCAACCCAAAACTACTCAGGGAGTAGGAGGTACAGCTTGTGATCCATCAGAAGCGGTATACACACATTTGGAACAACTGCATACCTATGAAACAAGTAGGTTCTGAGTGGGGGCAAAGTAAAGAATAAGATAACTGCTTCTGAAGTCTGAAATGATTGAGAGCTCTGCACTTGAAATCCTCTTTTCCAAATATTCCTTATATGATGAGAAAAGCATGTCGAGAAGGAGACAGTAGCGGAATTCTAAATTTAGATTTCTTTTAAGTCAACTTCGAGTTTTGTTGGTGACCAAAATGTCCGCAGCACCAGCAACTAAAGCCACCCGAAGTCATATCCCGTCACGTCGAATTGCTACGAGGCATGAATCGAGGTCTGATATCAATCGTCACCCATCTTTGTCGTCTCTGAAGTCGGAGAGTATGAAATCAAGGCATGGTGAAGGAGACAAACCTCCTCTATGTTCCCACAGTATGCTTCCAGTTTCATCAACTGTAAGAATATTGGAAGAAAGTCAGATAGAGATTTGCACGGTTTTGGTTCCGATTCAATCTATTTTGGGGCTTTCGATCAACGGCACTGGCCTAGAATGAGTGTAACATTCATTTCCAAAACCGAGGCAAGGCACATACTAAATTGGCATTCAAGTATGACTCTCTGGCTCTGAAAGAACACAGAATTTATTGGCTGCTGCCATCAAGATAAAACGCTAGCGAGGTTTTCTGGTTTCTGGCGGCTGCATATCATGGATCCAAACCTCTTCATGCCGAAGCAACGAGGTAAAAGAGCATAAGCTTCAGCAGACGCGAACACGAGGAGTGAATCTAGTGCAGAGAAGAAGGTCCAAACTCTCTTTGTTGAGACTGCAATGAAGCAGGTAGGAAAGATTTTCAGACGTATTTTTAGCACGTTTCGACTTTCTAGCTGAGTGAGTTGGTGCAGTTACCTTCTATGCGCTCGCTGGGAGGTAGACATACAGTAGTTCAGAACCTCGACAGATAATAACTGCCTTGCAACCGAGGAACTCTGGTTTAGTTACTCTGCTGCAGAACTAGTGCTTCGGGTGAAGAAGACCCACGATTAAATGCGGGAATGGATCACGCTGACTTTAATTTATCGTATTTGACATGTGACATGATTCCATATGCAGCACCTTTATGATCAGCGTATGGTCGTTGTCCCTAAGGAACTGCCGTCCATCGGAAAACCGTAATAGACTCTCACTTTCGGTTAGTTTCAACATGGGATAACAACGCGATCCGCCGTTCGTTCGATCGGCTTCAACCCTATGTCGTGGATTTAGCACATTCATGAAAAGATTCGTGAGGGCGTGCGGTTTGCAGCTAGAGCAAAGTCAAAGGAATCCACGACGTTAGAGTGGTTAGATGAAAGGTAACCGACTAAATTGCACAAATGTGAGCAGGAATTTCCCCACTCAGGAGACAACTAATACCAAACCCTAAGGATTAGGGTGTATTCTTACCTCAGCAGCAACATTGATATCTCCAAACCACGCATAAGCATCGGATAACTACCAAATGAATTCTTATCGCTCGCTGGGGAGAAATGGCATCATTGGAGCATGCATGAAAAAGCTGATTCGTGCTGGGAAAAAAGGAAGAAGACAAGGTGAAAGGAAATACACCTACAAATAAGTGATGGAATAACTACAAAACTATAGTTGAAAGCTACAACTGCTTGGTAGTGCTCGAAATAACATCGTGGCATGGAGAAAGACATCATCATCCTCATCATCATATGCAGAAACCTGCATCGTTTTGTGACCAAGAGACGTATGGCAAACTGCTTCAGTTGGTGTACTTTCACCTCAACGAAACTCATCCAGTCCATCGCACAACGCCTCCCATGTTCGGGTTTTGTGTGACCGCGCTCTCCCGTCATCCAGCTAAGTACCTACAGAGGATGAGACTACTGCTCCAGGCTCTTATCCGATTCTTTTTAATTCTTTCGTCGTGGAACATCCGGGAAAAGGGGCCAGACGGAATGGTCAGGGAATGAGAAAATAGATCTAAGACATGTCAGGCCTCCCCCTCGCTCCGAGTACTACCTCCTCGAAGATATACATATAAAATACTCTTAAAGAAACTCACGTATTAAGCAGGTCTTCTGATGCCACAACGAGATGCAAACGATGGAGAAACACGAGTCGAGGGGATTGGGAACACAACACAGTCCCTTGTCGTGGAAGCCATGGACAGCCAAAGGTACACGAGTGCAGTGTAAAGAGCGTCATGCAAAAAGCGGGACCGTCTTTTCATCCGTCTATTCATTTGGATCATTTTTGGGATAATAATGAAGGAAGAAAAAGGCGGTTTGACCTTGGCGTTTGTCGATATGCTGGACGAGCAGTACCATATACAGAAGTATCTGATCAGCCTTTCCCACTGTCTGTGTATCTACGCAAGCAGCAAGCAGCAGGCGTTGAGAGGTCTTAACTAAAAATCCGGAGTTTGTTGCGAAATCAGATCCAAACGGGAGGTAGGGCTCGGGCACAGCAGGGGCGGCTGATCATGTGCTTGCGAACAACTGAGCATTCATCGTCCACTCGACCCAACTGGGTCAACCTAATCGCCTGCGCTTTCAACCTAGACTAATTTCCAACCATGTGAAGGATTTCTACACGTCATGCTCCATCGACCCTCGTCCGATGGGTTAAACCTGGCCGTACGGCCAGGGTACCGATCAGACATGAAGTTAATTGAGTAGGTGAGTGCATCTTTCTGGACGCACAAAAGCAGCAACAGCAAGAAGATGGGCACTTTGGAATCATCACAGAGGGGAATTTATGTCGTATGAAGATGATTCATTCAAACTCTCTCGAGGGGGGAGGGCGGATGCAGGAAAGTGCATGGAAGACACAAGGCGAGACGTGGGTCAGTAAGAAAGTTGGACATCCTCTCTCGCCCATTTATCCGGAGAATTTCCGATGATGACCAATCAATGAATGAGCGATGTTACTGCAGTTACCACTCGAGTTGCAATTATCAGCAGAGATCAGGATCCAAAACAAATCCTCCAGGAGAAAATGTCAAGTGGTGAGGTCTGTTATTATTCCATGAAGCAAGATATGGGACAGCTTTTCCAAAACGTGGGTACATGAAGGAGGAGTGTGGTGCCCGATGGTCAAGCCATGCAGTACAGTAATTGCAATATATCCTCGTGGAGAGAGCATCTTTCTCAGAGTTGGACCACAGTAAACATTCATTCTCTCTCCTTCCCTTGTGAACTCTATCGATGTCCACTCACTGTCCACTCGCACATTCCGTCTTCAAGGACCGTCTGAAACCACACCCCGCCCCCCTCGAGTTTGTTTGAATAGAAGATACATGCTCAAGACATACACGGATTGCATATTAATTATATTATACTGGAAACATTAAGTAGTACAGATCGCTCTAATATGTACTTCTTTCTCATCCGTACTGGATTTCAGTTCGTTTGATCGACTCGATCCATCAAAGGGGGTAAGTGAATTTCGTCATTCCCAAGATTTTCGTTTCCCCTAAACTGTGTGTCGGGAGACTGAGATAGCGTGAGTAGTATCCATTGCTGCAAAACTAATCCTCACTAAAATGAATTCTCTAAAAAAATTGTAGAACGACGAACGAAAGCATATTTTTTGTTTTCTATATGATGAAAATATTCCTGTCTTCTTGAATTTACGGCCCCTTTGATATTTTACTTTCACTGACCCGAATGTTTGTATACGAAACTATATTCGAATGTTCAAGGCTTAGCCTTAAACAAATCAATTTCCACAAGGGACCTTATTCAACAAATCTCGAGAGTGATTCCCCACAGTGAGATAATCAATTATTATGAGCGAAATTCATTTACTTTTTTTGATCCTTTGCTTAAATGAGTACTGTATTCCTAGAAATAACCTGTGCGTCGAAGTGTACATGGAAATACTGTTGGACAATATCTTTTCAAGGGAATCATGCAATAAAGGAGTCAATTCTTTTCTTAGACAACATTCTTTCATTATAAAGAATGCATGGAAAGCTGCGGGTCAT